GATGATCTACAATGAGATCGCCTTTGCTGACCTGCTGGGATACTTCCCTACTTACATGAGGTACGCTCACTGTGATCATGATCAAGTATGAAACTTCTGTGTCTAATCAAATGCAGACCTCCCTATTCAGCCTGTGATGCTACATGCGAGGGCTATCTCAATGATTTGGGTTACCACATCACCTACTTCAACCTCGACACCGAGGGATATCTCCATGACAGCGCCGACCTCATCCAAGATTCCAAAGATATTTGGGACGAAAACGTCGAGGGCAAGGACGTTGCCACCACCAAGTGGCTTCAGATCGAGCACGATCCTGTCTATCAGAGCGTCTATAACCTCACAGACCACATGCTCGAGTCCCTATTCCGCAACGGATTCAAGTCTGTCACCGTCGGTGAATGTCTCGACGACCCCCAAGAGAACTGGTACCGCTCCGTCGGCGATGCCCCGCCATCCACCGGCACCACCACTCGCGTAGCCACAGGGACTGCCACATCTTCAAGCGTCGCCGCCCCAACAGGCACTCTTCCCGCTTCCACCAACGGCCGCTGCGGAGCCAACTTTGGCAGCACAACCTGCTTCACCGAGCCCGGTGCAACCTGCTGCTCATCCGCCGGCTGGTGTGGAAACACGGCCGACCACTGCGGTGCAGCATGCCAGCCTCTCTACGGCAACTGCCAGATCTCCGGGGCATCGAGCTCTCCCGCCCCCGTCAGTTCCGCTTCGTCGTCTGCAGCCGTACCCTCGCCGTCCGTAACCAGCTCTGCGCCCGCGGCCACTGGTACCACGACGTCTCCGCCTCTTAGTACCAACGGGCGTTGTGGTACCACGCAGGGTGGCACCACTTGCATCAGCGAACCTGGCGCGACGTGCTGTTCGCAGTATGGATGGTGCGGTGCCACGACAGACCACTGTGGTAGTGGTTGCCAGGCTGGTTTCGGTACTTGCGGTACATCGAACTGATGATAGTCAAGTATGTGTAGAGGCCTCCTGATTCATTCCTGAATCTTGGAACTTTCGACTTCTCGAGTCACCTCTGGTCAAAGAGCAGAGGATAATCTTTAGTGTGTAATCTTATAACGGGACCGTTGAGCTATCAGCGAACTCTCCGCGTACTTATTGGCGTTTAGGCTTAGGTGGAAATCAAAAGGGTACCATGGGCGCTTGATAATATAAATGTAATGAGCAGAATCCTGTGCCAGTTGAATGAAACAAATGCAACCTCACCGTCTGACTCAAGCGGTCTGTGTTCGTGATCTACTTGGGAGTATGGGCTTACATGTTCGAGGCAGTATTTCTCCCAGTTGGACCACTTATCTGAGGCCTTGAAACCGTGTAGGCAGTGGGCTAATACGAGATGACATCGCAAACTTTTGCTTTACCATAGACTCTAACACAAAGCCGAATGGCCTAATCTCCTTCTTCTGGCATACCTCTCGACTGTTTTCTGCAGTCGACTGCATGTTGCGAAAGCCTTTTGTAGACTCTGGCCGCTGCGTTGGCGGGCTTACTATTCTCGAGCGTGACATCATTAGTAAAGATCAGCTGCTCAGTGCACGAGTCTTGACTCGGAATCTGGGGTCTGGACCGTCCACAAACTTCTGCTGCCCGCGGCAAAAACCTCCGAAGAATAGAGGCCGGGCCGGTGTGGGTCCACCGCGGATCCTTCGGAGTACCGTGTTGCCCGGTTGCCCGGAGAGGGTGCTGGAAGGCTACATAGAAGGCAGTAATCGGAAATGCCACGTAAACAAGCCAGATAGCTTCTTGAGGTTTCCGGGACTCTTTGATCTAAATAGTGAGTTCATCTGAATTTAGCAACACTTTACAAAAGAATAGAAAACTTCGTAGGGTCTACGGCAGCTTGGCCACGTTTCATGTTATAGCCGAGACCTCCGCTGTTGGCCTTGGCGTGCCGCTCGGCTGCACAAGCCGGCGGGATCGTATTCTTCCATTCACATTCCATGGAACTAAAAGATGTTGGTTATCCTCGTATTTAAGTCTCTTTCGATCCAATTAGGAGATGATCACGCGAGCAGCGGGTGCTACATCTTGGCAGGCACATTCACTAACATTCAGTTGACAAGCGGATGAAACAGCCGGCGGCGAACACCTTCATCCAATTTGAACTGTTTTTCACGAGTCAGTAGTTGCCTGTCAGGCCTGACAAAATAGGGCAGGTCGGCTCGCACCCAAGACTTTCAAGCAACCACGAAGTGAACCGATGGCACCGACTAGATGTCGCCAGGCCAAAGGCCGCACCCTGCTGGGGCCACTTCATTTCGATCTCTATCGATAGTGCACCTGGGACCTAGGAATTGGGCGGTCAGAGGGGCATGCACAGCCTTTAGAAATGGGTGCTTACTTGGCATTCTATAATTCCCCTCCTGGCCCTGGTTTTGGCATGATTAAAGATTATAGCCTGAACTTTGAGCTGACAGAATATGGGTCCTTCTTGGAAGGTCATGCCTGACTGTGATCATGGCTGAGAAGTATCATGCCCTATTCAGAGTGTACCTGAGATTTGCCAGCGGTTAGTTTCGATATACGCTTTCCGACCATACTGCAAACGGCTTCTAACACCAAAGGACCAGAGGATAGTTAGGTACTAGGTTTCGCCAGCGTCAAGAAGGAGCAGGAAAGACATCATTATTTCCACCTTGCCACTGACAGTCAAAGTGATTAATCACGGTGTCAGGCGCTAGTGACACTTCATTGAGTGGTATTCATTCATATTTGAATCTATCGTACGTCACGTCTGGGTTCATGAGAACTCAAAGCCCCTTAGACGGTAAGCGAGCTGGGCGAGAAGAAGCATCCTCCTTCAATCAAAGCTAAACCCATCCTATCTTTAGACTGGACGACTCCATTTAATGCCACTTGCAGGGCTGTGGTGATGGAAGTTGGAACGAACCGGCTGAAAACTTGGCGAGACTTGGCGAGACTGTCTCCGCACCGGCCTTACAAGGAGACTCAAATAAACTACTTCGCTTTCCGGGGATGCAGAAAAGATCCGTAAGGCTGTTAAGAGGTGTACAAGAGAACACGGTGGGCAGCCCTCGTTTCAAAACGTACCTGTTGCTCATTGCCGTTAATGCTTCGACGTCTTAAGAAGCGCACCGATATAGCAGCTGGTGGGTAGTTCCAGGTTAAGGGCCCCACTGAGCGCGAGTCGGCGGCACGTGGAGAACCACGCCGACTTACAACCCAATTCATGCATGACTGGAAGATGACTGATCAGTCTTCAGCTCAGGAGCAGGTCGGCCTTGTTCTCGGATATCAGAAAGATGCCTTTTCGAGATGTATAAGACCTCAGGGTCAGCTGCGGCGAGAAGAAGAGGTTCGCTACACTCATCAAACTCATCTATACACTCTCTCGGCTCGCTCTAGCTAACCAGGGCTCATTCATTTGCCCTAGACATTCTTTTCTTTGAAATTTACATCTTCTCTGTGTGTCACTACGAGTGCTTCTTGAAGAAGTTCTCATAATGAGAGCAAAGCAACTCCTTCTGGCCTTGGCCTACACTGGCGCTATCGCGACCCCCCTGCCACAAGATACTGGTTCTGTAGACTGCAAGACTGAGGCTCTCAACCAAGACACATGGAAGAAGCTCGAAATCGAGAAGTTCCTTGCTGAATGGACGACCTTCAACGTCAGCAAGGTAGAACACAACGCTGTCCAAAACTTTGCCAATTCCTTCGGCGCACCCAACTTCTTCTGGTGAGTCTCAACTCCATGACTTTATCTGCAAAACTTGGACACTAATACCCAGGATAGTGGCCTCGACAGTTTCTGTAATGCCGGCCAACCCTGTTCTCCGGTCAAATTGCCCGGGTGGTACGCTCTCGTTGCCGTCCAGAACTGGAATAGCTACATGAACTCTCTCAACACTGCCATCACCTTCGCCTCGAGCATCTTGAGCCTCACTCTCCCGGGCATCGTCCAGGACTTCTACCCGAACCCCAAGGACGATATCACAGACCTCAAAACCATGACCCGTGTCTTCGCTGGCGTGCTATCCATTATCCCCTTCACTGGTCCCCTCAGCACCGTTGCCGGCGCCGTCGGCAGTACCTCCAGCTTCGTGTCCACCAATCTCAAGGCCCCTGAGCCCACCAACCTCTTTCTCTCTTGGAGCAATGTTGCCACTTCCCTAGGCAAGGTCGTCCAAAACTGGCAGTCTGCCGTTTCATCCAGCTTTCAGACCACCATCGACGCACAAGTCAACGTCACGGGGGGTATTTTCCAGATCATCCGCGACGGAAAGTTCCTCGGAACCAGCCGCAATATCACCCAGGGTGACATGCAGAAGGAGATGACGCGCAGTTTGGAACTCTACACGATTGGCCTTGCCCTGCAAGCCCAGAAGGTCTTTGTCCTGCGCTCACAGCCATTCGCCGAAAAGTGCACAGAGTACACCGAAGCCGAGCTCTGTTCGCAGGATCCTGATGGCCGCTGGCGTCAGTACATTCTCATCCAACGCTCGGATCACAAGAACTCCATTGGGCGCAAGGATCTTATGAAACTCTTGACTGAGAAGTATCAATTAAAGAAGGAGACTGTCACCAAGGAAGTGGCTGAATGTGTCGATGCTGCCGGAGGGAAGCAGTTGACGTATCCGTTTGGAGACATCCTGCCTGTTGACAGCACCACAAAATGCATTTTCAACTTGCAGGTTTGTACTACACCACCAGGTGCGAGAGAAGGCATCATCACAACGTGTGAGGGCCTTGGATTGGACGTCTAGGTTCTCCGTAGTCTCTGTATTAGCGTAGTGTCTTAACGAAGAATGGAGTGATTGATACCCTCAGACTTGATCTATAAGTACTTTGCTGCTAGTGCGAAGAATGTTCTCTCTCAGACTCCAGAGTATCAGGCAACTTAGCTTGATACTGATATGACAATATTACAGTATATGTCATGAACCAAGTTCTACACTTCTTGGATTTGGACAAAGGTGAGCTATTGAGGATGACCTATCGAGAAAAGCTTTGTATACCCTCAGTGCTAATTATTCCACATTACAGGTTCCAGTCAACAGATGCCTAAAAGATTTCGATCAAAGGCTGCACAGCACTGAATGAGTTCTTGACTGGTGCAGTTTGTCCGCGCGTCTGAACAGAGACAGTGAGCTTGCTGTGGATGTCCTCCTTAGTCTCAGCTCCAATTGCCCTCATCAGATCCTCGCCAAAGGGGATGTAAGTGTACGTCTCAAGCTTGTTCTTCTGACAGTTCTTGCAATTTGCGAGAACCCATCGACTGAGAATTGCGTCGCGGTCGATCTCAACCTCACTACCGTCGGCAAGCTTAGCAGAGGTACGGATGACAAACGAACCCTCGTGGTCTGTGGTGCTGATGCCACTAACACGGGCGACAGCGACAAGTGGAAGTTCAGGGTCGCCCAGAACGGGCCCACTGGTCAGAAGGTCAAGGGAACCCTCGCCATACATGTATCCCAACTGGCTGATGTCGGTGATGTCGTCTGAAGTGTAGAACACAGGGTCGTTGATACATCCGGACTTCAAGAAAGGTGCAAGAGGACTGCTCATCTCCAACTTGCTTCCCGGAGGGAGAACAGGGCTACCTGCGCTGAGTGTTCCCGCTGTGATGTTGGGCTCCACTGACAGGCTACCCGGCTTGGTAAGGCCGTGCTTGACTTGCCATGTCCAGAAGACATAGTCAATGAAGGCATGGTGAAGGAAGAAGATGGGGTCGAAGCTCGCGGTTTCGTTCTCTCCCATGTCGCCATGGGCACCCTCGACAGGTTTAGCGTTCTCTTCCCCATCTTGATAGAAACCTCCGATGGCAAGATGAACAGCGTTGTGTGGATCTTCAAGAGAAGTATGGAACTTGCTCTCCAGTGAGCCTTTCGTATTACGAAGCCACTCGCCCCTGGAAGCCTTGTTGGAGAACAGCGTGTAATTGGGTGCATCAAGACTGGCCTTGTATCTCGAAACGATGGAGACTGTGTCCGGAATTGACGTTGGCGACGCCTTGCCGTCGATATGGATCTTTCCGTTTAGCCAGGCTGCAATGTTGCCGTTGAGAATTCTGGCATGCGAAGCGGGGTCTTCTCCGTCCAAGCTAGTGACACCCGCAAGCGGGTAACGAGCTGTCTGTGATCCCGTTGACTTGCTGTAACGCTGGGCATCTGATGGCTTCTCGTGGTTGTCTGCAACTCCCTTCTGGAACTTGTAGGAGTAGAGTGGGTTCGTATTATCTCCATCAAGGTCGAAAGTCGGGGTGGTCAAGATCCAAGGGAGGGGAGTGTTCTGGTCGAAAGGCCGGCACTCGTCCAGAAATGGCAGGGCTAGACTTGGAGCATCGGGAACAGCTCGACGCATGGCGTCTTCAAGCCGAAGGAGGTATGCTCGATGCCAAGTGGGGAACAATACCGTCTGATGTTGGCAGTAACCTCCCCGCCAATCGTCGTAAGTCGATCCGCCGGGATAAGGGTTCTCCTTCATCCATGGCTCTCCATGATACCCAGCAATGGTAAAGAAGGAGTCTTCGTTACTTGGATCAAGTTGCTGAAGCCTTCGGAAGGCTCTGACAATATTCTCTAAGGTAGTACGATCCTCGCCAGACGTGTACCGGTCGCACACATCTTGGAGAGAAGGACGAACTCTGGACATTGTGAGGTACGAAATAGGTGATCTAATAGAGGTGTTTGATGTTACTTGTGGATGATACTGCATGCTCTGATAGCAGTGAAGCTGGTATCAAGGGAAACCTCGGCGACTTTATACCACTGAGTTGCGCCAGTATCGATATCGCTGTCTCCTCCAGACGAGAGATATAATAGTAGCCGCGCCTTTTCTCATTCTCTAGGCTCAAGTGCGGGGACTAGATCTCGATGAACCTCACGAAGAGAGACGAGCCGGATAACGTAGCCGCCAATGAAATCCCCGATGCGGCATGTTGAAACGCCAGTAATCGTCCAGGCGGTTGGATGCGCCCTCTTGTCACACTTTGCTCAGAGGTACTGAGCCATAAGATAAGAAACAACTTATGCCAGAAGAAGCCTCATTTCTCTTGAGCGACGTTGAAAATCTTACAACGAGGTTTTACATGTGATGGTGCGTCGATCAGTCACGGTCCACAGATGCAAGCTTCCGGTCGAGGGGAATCGAGTGAGATGCGAACTGTTACTGAAGAGAACCGGCCGGGTACTACAGGTAGGAAGGATGCAGAAAGTGTGGTCTCGTGTATCATGCTGATCACACCCTTTAGATCCGGTTCTCATAGTTCACACATGAATATCTCTGTCAGGAAGCAAGAAGTGAATGGGACTGGAACAAACTTGACGGTGTGAGCCGAGTCCCGGAATGGGAGAATGATTCGATGAGCAGAAGATCGCCACGGATCGTCCCCGATATCGACATAATATGCCGAGGCAACTGTGGCAGGTACTTGAGCTTCGTTCAACGCAGCCGCGAAGACAACATCCGCATCTCCAACTATCCTAGTACGTCGCTACTGTCTTAAGGTCGCAAGCTTCTGACCTATCATCGAACTTGATTAGAAACAACGAGTGGGGATCAACATCGATTTGGTTCAATGGTCACCCAAACATCGCGTTCACAAACATGCAGGAGTTGCGTGCACATGTAGCAAGGTGATTGCCCGCGTCGCACTCGCACCGTTTTCGTGCGGCCGTAAAGCTGGTTCCATTGACTGTTCCCATTGAAAACCTCAGACTGGCAGTTTTTGTAGCAGAAGCGGGGAAATAAACGAGACAATGACGTAAGTTGACCTGACATGAATACGATCCATTGTCTCAGTCGATTCTCTAAGCTAGTGTGATTCAGGCCAGTCAGTAATCGAGAAGCTACTGCCACGTAACAAAATGCTGGTTCTGGAATCAAGTCATGCAATTCTGGAGATAAGGTCATGGATCTAAATTCGATGGCGGTTCCGAAGCCCATGTAGTTATTCCCAAGGCATGAGTGCAGCACTTCAGGAGTTGAATCTGAGACACATAAGCACTCGAAAGACATCTCGATCGTCTGGCAACTACTAAGTATATTGGGAGACAATAGTGCCTGACAATGGCACTTCAACGTCTAAAGTAAGGTCATGAGGGCTACCTTTTCACAAAATAGGTAGACACGTTGGAATTGTAAGCATTGCCATTGGCATACACGACGAAGTAAGTATTTTGCAGCCTTTTAACCGTTCATAATGCATCGAAAGAATCAGAAGTATTGAGGTCCCTTGAATGATTGTGTAAGTTTGAATCAACGTAATGTCTCTAGGTACAGCATACGTTCACGCCACATAAGCCTCTCTTCTCTTGGGTAAATTGTAATAAGTAGTATTCTAACTCTAATCCCATCTAGCAATAAGCTTCGCCACAAGAAACGAAAAGCATCAAACCCCGCACTCCTGTATCGCCTAACATACTGAAGGCTTGGAAGCCTTCAGAGAACGGCTTGAATGTCCTTCTTCAGAGGTCGCATGATAGATTGCTGATTCATGGTGGCGACCATGTTCCCTTGTTGATCCCAAAGTCGGGCTTCAGTGTAAGTTCGGCCGTCGTTGCCAGTGATAGTCTTCATCTCTCTAAGGTGCCAGTTGTCCAGGTTGATTTCTCCAGTGAAGAACCTCAACGCAAAGTCTAGTGAGGAGCAAGGACCGGCGTCATCGAGGAACTTGCTGCTGTGGGTCAGGGGGATGAAGGACAGAGCTGCGTCCAGGATGAACCCCAGTGCCGAGAACCGATCTTGGAGTCGCTCCAGGGAATGGCGGCAGCGGAACCAATCAGCTGATGTCTTTGATGTCAAGTCAAGACTTTCCTGGGGCGTCTTGACAGTCTTGGCCATGCCGTAGAGGTTGTTCGGTGCAACTGTCTCCGGACAGCCGCGGGTCTCAAAGAAGCGGTTGTTGAAACCAAAGGTAGCCAGGTACAGATTCCCCAGCTTTTCTGTCACGACGCCCCTCCGCACCTTATCTTCAGTTGCCTCCTGCGTTGTAAGACACTTCTCAGGCGGTGAGTAGCTCATTGATGGCGGCGCAGAGTACACGAGAAGAGAAGCCTCTTCTTTCACTTGGAAATCGGCCAACATGATCATGCAGAGCCTGGATTTGCCATCGTCTTGGTCTTGGCTGATCTCGACCAATCTAGTAGCGAATGTTCTCGTGTCGCGGACTCGTCGGACGGCACATTTGAGCTTGCGGTCTGTCAACGCCGGGCCTAAATAGTTGCCCGTCGCCGAATAGAGCAGGTACTTGGGTGATACAGTGCTGCATGCCGCTTGAACGCCGATGCTGATGGTACAGCCCCCGTAGGCAATATTTGCCTTATTTCCCATGCGGGCGGGATCGACGCGACTGGTGAAATGGTCTGATCCCAGGTCGTCTACCGCAACTTGCTCCTGCATTGTGCTGGCCATAGAACCGTGTGACATGTTGAGTAATTCGGCCTGAGCTGTCATATGGTAGATCCTTGCTGTGGTTCACACAAAGTTTGGACGGAAATACAACGCTGGTTTTGTTGATGAGATGTTCAGTAATCAAGCGATGTCGGCTTTGAGTTTGTGTCCTTTCGTTGTCTACATCGTTGCCGCCTAGTCGCGTTGGCGCGCCGCCTCGGCGCCTCCAACAATTTGGGGAATTGGGGCCGCTCACAACCGAGGTTGGCGTTTGAGGAATGTGAAGGTGGGGTAGGCCGGCCATGCTCGCGCTAACAGGTGAATTGGCAGCCATTGTCATGTTGCCTTAATGAACATGGATTTCATGAGTGTAGATACAATCACCATGTATTATGCATTCAGGCTGTGAAGATTCGGATAGTTATTGTTTCTTTTGTGAACATCCTTACTCCCCTGGAGACCCTGTCCTCATGCCAATGCAATAATTGAATTCACTACCTAGAACCTTGGGCCTTGGTACTGCACATGTTGTCTCCAAACTGATGACCGATTTGGTTTTGGTTGGTCCTAGGAAGGTGGGTGATGCAGTCGCAAGGGTCGGGAGCTTGTGTACACCTCGGCAGTAAGTGGGGCCGAGGAGGTTGTGTCCGTGACCTCGGACTTTGACTGGCCTTCAACATTTTGTAGCTGTAATTTTGTTGTTTGATATGTTTAATTACATGTACTAGAATTCCCTTGAAAGCCTGATCTGGTCAAGGTCGATCTTTTGCGCTTGTAAAGCCGGGAAAAAGCACCACACACGATCAATCCGCGATCATTTGTTTGTGTAATGCAACCTCAGTTGGGGCACCTATTGTCGCTAGTGACAATAATGAGGATAAGGGCGTATAAAGCTTACAGCTTTAGTGTATTATATTCGGGGGTAACGAGAACTACCTACTGTGAGCTTTTTCAGGTCATGTGCTCCAAATGGCATGTTCCTGTCGCAGGGCTGTGCTGCCCAGTGTGACTGCATTATACCGTTTGCTGTAACATGAGAGCTCAACTCTTCGGGTACATGTGTATGATCCATCATTGCGCTCTTCTTCCAGAGGAATCAAGCCACATTATACTATCGATGCCTTACACTTGATCTCTCACTTTGTGATAACCTCGTTCAAGGGTTAGAAGTCATAGCTTGTTCCCGTGGTACTAAGGCACGTGGACCCCTAGCAAGAGCACCCTCTTAGTATGCATCACCGGCATCTTTCCTCTTCATAGGCACTAACGACATGACTAATAGTTTGGGAAGAAAGTGCACCAGGTGATCAAATGTTCGGTTGTGTAAAGACCCCGGCCTAAAACACGTCGGGATAGTGTGAGCTATAAGAGTCTACTGAGATAAAGCATTGTTTGTGTGTAACAAACTTTGAGACACTGTTAACTGCTTTAGAGTAGAGTGCTTTTCAGTTCTGAGGAATTAACAGACGTACTAACACATGGTGTGTATGTTTGTCCGAATGCTAGTGGGTAAAGTATAGAGTCAGGAACTCATGAGGTCTTGATTCTAGATTTGAGGAGGCAAAGAACGCGAGCTTTCTATAAGAATTTGATCTCGGTCCTTGATTTAAGCATAATCGCCTAGCAGTCGGCTGGCGAAACAAAGTCACGCTTCGAGTTTAAACTTATGGATGCAATTGGACATCAAATCAATTATAGTAGTTCTGGTGCATTCATGTAACGTTCTCAGCCGTGGGTATCTCGTATTTTAGTCATTGCAGACTTTATGTAACTATTAATTATTTACAGGGCGGTTTCATAATCTAAGACGAACGGCAGGCAAAGGGCTTGTGAGCGCTTCCAGAGCTTGTCTCGTCGATCTTTTTGGTGTTAGTACATTGGACGTACGTTAAAGTGAGTTGTTGAACTTACGATATCAACGATAGTTGAGTAGGTGCCGGCAACCAACGTGACAGCTCCGACGATGAACGCCAAGATGCTGCCAAGACTGATGAGGATGTTCTCGCGCGCGAACCACTTGCCCTTGCAGAGAAGGGTAAACCACATGATGGCAGGAACGTAAAAGGAGAATCCGGAAACAAACAGCGCCGAAGCCAACGACAGCAGGTCGGAGAAGATGGGAATAGCCTCAGCAATCACCCACGCGATAATGGTGAACACGACAACGAGGATGATCCAGCTGGCCCAGCCCATGGGAGTGTTGATGTACTTCAAGTGAGAGTTCTTGTACATGCGGCCGTGAATGTATCGCAGGGCGACAGTCGAATTAATAGAACCGGAGATGAAAATGACGGGAATCGCGACTCCGAAGGCGATCTTCGAGATCAGGGGGCCGGCAGAGAGGAGAGCAGGGGATTGAACCGAAGGACCAATGAATGCGTAGCAAAGAGCGCCAGTAAGGGTATAAATGGCGATCTGAATGAAGCCAGAGGCCCAGATGGACTTCATGTAGTCGGTAGGCGTATGCATCTCGTCCATGAAAGAGAATTGACCGATGGCGAAACTGAAGGCGAAAATGATGTTGCTCACGGCAACAAAGGCCTCGGAGAACGTAACACCCTCCCTAGGCCAGGCAGACCACTCGATACCGGAAAGACCACCGGGGCCGCTGTTGGCCTGAATGCCGGTGGCAATGACGGTGATTCCGATGGCAGCCAGAATGGAGACGAAGTCGATGTAACCGAGAATAGCGACCTCGGTGAATGAGGGCGGGATGGCAAGAATCAGGAGAATGATGGCTGACACAGCCGAGAAGACGATGGAGCAGACGTGACCGCCGTTGATATCGACGAGCGCAATGCTGCCAGTCAAGGCGTGAGAACCAACAACCATGACAAGCTCAAGAACAAGCGCAGCTCCGAAGATCTCGTATCCGATGCGTCCGTAGCGACCAAAGAGAAGTCTTCCGGCTTCCGCGTAGTTGGCGACGTGCGGGTGGGCCAGCTTGACCTGGCCAACGATGTAACTGGTGAAAATCGAAAGCATGCCAATTGTAATGGTGAGGAAAACGCCGGGGAACATTCCGAGGGTGTGGTAGGCGGAAGGCAAACTGAGAGCACCAAGGGCGACGGCCTCGACAATGGTAACGATTGCCAAGCGCTTCCAGCCCAGACGGTGGAAGTGAGCGCTGCCCTGGGCAGCGATCTGCTTGAGGCGGTCATTGTTCATCTCGTCGCTTGTCTCGCCGAGCATGGTGTTGTCGTTCATCTCGGGCCAAGGGTTAGGGGGCTGGACCATCTCGGCATCAGGTCCGTCCTCCTTGTGCTTGGAGGACTTGTTGTTGGCGTGGTCGGCCGTGTGGGAGATGGCGTCCGTCATGATGGGTGAAGACGTTTTTCAACTGCGGCAAAGTTGAAGACGATTGGTTGACGACGAGAGGCAGTCCGAGGGGAGGTCGTGGAAGTGATGGGATGGAAGAAGCCAACGGAGAAAGGAGGGCTCGAGGAGGCAAAAAAGGCACGACGCGTCTGACGTTCCTGACTTTTAAAGATCAACGTACAGGCGCGAGTCAGATGGATTCAGGGTCCACATGGTGGTAGACGGGCTGGAATCATCCTTGACAGAGGTTGTCGTCAGTTCGGTAGCCCGGTGAAAGCCGGGCCACCTCCACAGAATGATCTCGCCCCCATGGGCGGGAAAGATAACAGATCGCCCTGCAACACGGGGAATGCATTTCTGAGTTGATAAGATCTAATTGTTTTGTGTCACTGCTGTCAAATTGCCCCGTAAACTTTGGATTGCGAAGTCCCTGAGTGGGCGTTCTTCGGCCTGTTCTTGACACTGACATTGCGGAGGGCGCAACGAAGAAGTTTTGATGTCGTAAAAGAAGCTTTCCATGGCATGTTGGAGCCGCGCTAAGAGACCCGCTCGGCGGTTCTCGATGGAGCCTTTCTCGATTCAGAAACACAAGCGAGGAGCTTTTAGGTAAAAGATGGAGACAGTTGCGGCTCCCGCGAGATTCAGATGAGTGCAAGAATTTTCCAACAGCAAAGCCGAGTAAAAACCGCCGCTAACCATCGCGTCAACATGACTTCGCCGTCAAGTCTTTTGCCTGCCACGGAGCCTGTCCGGAGGTCCAAGCGGGGCCGTATTACGTCCGTGAAATCTCTCAATTGGGCGGACTTGCCGGTTTGTACGTTTTTATTCAAGGGCTGGACTTGTTAAAAGGTGGATATTGTCGCCTTTACAATGTGCCAAGTGACATTCAAATTTGCTCACCAGCCAAGAGAGATAAGGACTTGTAATTTGTGTGGTAAAGAGCTGTTGAACGACAGCCACAATGTAGAATCCTGCTGAGCTGCTCCCGAGGCACAACATCAACATGCGACTTCATATCTGATGTCTCGACCCTTGCGCATATCTCTTCACCTCCCGTTCGTATGATCGGGTTGAAGAGTAACGGCTGCATGCTTTAACCCTCTTTGGCCATGGCGCGAAAATTTCTCCGATCTTGGTTCCTGCATCTCGGGTTTAGAAGGCGGGCTTGGTCTAGGCCCCCACCCGTCAGAGATGGGTCATCTCTTCTCAAGGCGCCTCTTCAGAATCGGGGTTTGGTTACTGGTAGAGCCTTCCACGTGGCGTCTACCCGGCTCTCAGTCTATCAAGTTGCCTTTCGCTACAGATCAGCTGAAGTTTTCGCGCGAAGTTTATCGAGTGAGTAGAGAAGTGAACGGGAGGTAGAGATGTCTACCCGTAGCCTTTATGTTTGCCTAGACCCTCACTATCATCATGTCATTCGCCAGAATTGGTAAGGTCTCGAACTTTACCGCTGCAAATTTCGCCATGTGTCGAAGCTTTTGGGCTAGATGGATCTTCAGAAATCCTGTACCGGGCTATCATTTGGGGTTGGCGAGCAATGAGGCTTGAGAGCTCGACTTAGTCACAACAGAGAAGAAGTAGTTGTGACAATGAATAAGGATGATTACTTAACCTAAAGCATTGGAGCGCTGGATCGTCGCAAAGGCCTTGGTTTTTCCTATCATTGGTTTCAATAGAGGCCCTATAAACCAAAGATTTAGCTGCGCGACCCACCAGTTCATGTGTTTAATTATATGACACAGATGCTGGGGCAGGCATACCCAATCGATAAACTTAGTCGCAGCGGCACCAGACTGCATGCACGCATCACCCGCAGCTGACACTCCGTACAGCATGCTGTGGATACAAGCATTGTATTATAGCTTTCCACTGTTTCGGGTTGGAATGTATTAATCTGGAAATACATTGTAGTTGGTAAAGCTTTCCTGAATAGTTCCGTCATGCTGAGCCGCTCTCACCTGATGGTAATTTTGACTTGAAGGCGTAGGTCTTCTCCATCTAATAAATTACTCAAGAGAAGTTGTTCTTCTTCTCCAAGCAGATACGAAAGAGAAGCGATGTCGAGTGCCTCGATAAGAAGCGCATGCGAAGTCCGTTGACGGATGTGCACGTAGGCAAGATTCACGACAGTGTTGAGGTAGTGCACATTCCGACTTCTTCAGGATTCAGGCTCTAACATAACGGATTATTTAATCCGTTGTTATCGTGGTCTCCCATCGAAGAATCTATTATCCAGTTTATCGCTTATGTGATCGGTTCGCCCACCGGCAGCGGTCCAGGTCTACGGAGCGGAGCAGAACTTTTTGGCACCAATCGAAAGCAGGCCGCTTCCGCTTTGAGACTAAGGGCACCCAGAAACGTCCACTAACAGAGACTCATCTCTCCGCCTCCTGCCCGGCTCAATTATTGCTCCGGTCAACTTCAACATCGTAGGCGGAATGTCGAACGGGGTTCGGGTATCACACAATACGTTCCTGCATTGCTAGTTGTATATAAACAAACAAGCTCTATTACGACTTGATTTTGTTGCAAAGACACTATTTATCCGCCTTTTGGCACAATGACGTCCTCAATGTTGGCAGTTACGGCACCAAGCTTTTGCGAACCGTCCGCATATGAGCTTTCCACAATCCCTCAGCCAGTTGTAACAGAGCCTACCAATGTGGTATTCCGTGTTCATGCAGCGAGTATCAATCCCGTAGATGTCAAGAAGGCAGCAGGAGTCTTCAAGCTCGCGGTCAAAGAGAAGTTCGTTGAGAACCCTGGTCATGCGATGATCTTGCCAACTAACACCAACAAATCAGATTCCCATATCAAATTGGCTATGATTGCTCAGGAACCGTAACAGAAGTGGGCCAGGATGTCAAAGGCATCAAAGTGGGCGACGAGGTTTACTCGCGGCTACCGGAGGCAAGTCGAGGTATGTAAACGCCAAAAAGTTGCGATAGACCATAGGTGCAGGTGCTGAACTACTATATTTGCAGGGGCATGGAGTGAATACGCCAAATGTCCGGAACATTACGTTACTCTCAAACCCAAGAACCTGTCTTTCGATGATGCCGCCTCGTTGCCACTGGCAGGCATGACCGCACTGCAAACTTTGCGACGATACGAGGGATCATTGTCAGGCAAGACGGTCTTCGTACCAGCTGGCTGTGAGTAATATTCATTACAATCTACATGGGAAATTATTGCTAATGATAATCTGCGAAGTGAGTGGCACTGGCGCATATGCGTGTCAGATCGCTAAGAACGTCTTCCATGCCAGCAAAGTGATCACCACTGTCTCAACATCAAAGGTAGACAAGGTACCAGAGTTGCTTGGTAAAGGCACGGTTGACCAAAGTGAGCCTCAATCAGACTACCTAGTTACTTGAACGGAGGGTAGTACCTAACCAGCATCCAGTAATCGACTACACCAAGGAAGACGTAACCCAGGTCATTCCTCGTGGATCCGTTGACTTCATCTTAGACACAACTGGAGACTCTATGTCTTTTCTTCACCTCATGACTCCATCTACAGGTGTTATTGTCTCTATCGCTACGCAGCCCTCCGGTACTCAACTCCAACAATCTAGCGTGATGAAGAGGCCAGATGACCCACGTCTCCCGTGGTTTGCACGCATGGTGTTGAATATGGTTGATACATATCGGAAGGCACGTGCAAAACGCTGGGGTGTCAAATACGAGTACCTCTTCCTCGATCCCAATGCCAAAGACTTGGAAACACTGGCTCTCCATGCAGAAAAAGGAGACGTCCTGCCTGTCGTTGGTCGCAAAGTCGACTTTAGGGACATCGGCGGCGTGAGAGAGGCGTGTACAACTGTGTACAACGGGAAAGGTGGCCTTGGGAAAACGGTGTTCACTATGATCGCGAGTTGAGTTTAGTAGTTTCGGCATAGGCGATAGTTCGCAGGCTTCCACGCAATCTTTTTTGAGTGACGCTTAATCGAAGCGAATCAAATACATTGTCGGTCAACTTTCTTTTCAAGTAGTTGATACAGAGACGTTATGAGATGAGACCTGATACCATACCGTTCATGTTCGGAGAGCAGGATGGAGTCGACTACGCAAGCATTTAGCGTCAGCAATACGACCTAGGTCAAGAATGATGGTCAGCGAAAGGAGCACATGGTTGGAGCGATGGACACTGTAATATGACCCTGATCGGTTTGAGTCAGAGGTTGGCAGTACTGCATCTATTAGGGACGTGTATGTCTAGTGAAGGTATGGGCAGAGGTTTTCTACACCGCCTCTAGTGCTAGTAGTTCTATCAATACCACATCTATTGACTCTATATGGGGTTTCCTTCCCTCACTACATAGAGTAATGACCAGTTGATAAGAGCAACAAGCGTAATGCCCCAGAACGGCGCACCAACAAAGTTGTTACTAAGTCCCCAGCCGAGGACAGTTCCTCCGATAGTAGGTCCAAGCATGCGAGCTGCGGCTGAAGTGCTCGATGCAACACCATGCACGGTGGCTAGCAGGGCGGGGTGCGGAGCAGAGTCGTTGACCAGCATGATCGTTGCCGGCCCTACGAACGTCCTCGACATGACTTGTGCACTCAAGATGACAGACAAAAAGGGCCACAAGAGCGGGCTCTTGTTCGACAACAGGGCGAGATAGGGCAGCGAGCAGTACGCCAGCGCACTGAAGGGGAGGAATGTGCGGTAGGACTGCAGGACACCAAGCCTACTGCTGATCCAGGGAAACAAGAGGATTTGGAGGGGAAGACCGACAGCTCCAATGACTGTGTTAGCAAAGCCAACCTTCTGAGATGACAGACCCAGACCACCCGTGAATCGGAATGGGAGTTGAGCATTGGTATTGTCTGCCTGGGGTGCTGGTAGCATAACGAACAGTATGGAGTTGAAGGCAGAAACGTGGAGAGCCGAGGAAAAGTTCTGAACCAACGTCAAAATAACGTTGCGCGTGCAGATAGCACGCAACGGGGCCCGGCCCTTGTCTTCCACGGGCTTGCTGGACGAATTTTGGTCCTCAACGTCTCCGACTTCGGCCGGCCCGTTTGCATTGCCAATGAGATGATAATCATTAGGCGGGCTTTCCACTCTAAAGACCTTTCTGAGAAGAAAGCGTCCAAGGTCCCGGCCTCGATCTCGGCGGTGGCGCCGGAGTGGATGCGTTTCGTCCAGCCCGAGGACTACTCCCAAAGCCGCAATCATCAAGATGCTTGAGCAGACAAAGTTTGTCAGAGCGTATGGAAATCGTACCATCCACTCGACTCCATCTTCACCACCGAGGAAGGATCCCGGCCCGAAGATTGAGGGTAGAGATTCAATAGGGTCGGCAAGAAATCCACCTAGAAGAGGTCCAATGATGACGCCAACGTTGAAACACATTGGAAGTAGAAGAAAAGCTCGAGATCGGTACCTTTTCAATTTTTAGCACTGATCACGCGACCACAACTGAAATGGGTATCAGGTCACGCATACCTTTTGTCTTCAACAATTTCCGAAATCATGGTCCTGAGAACACCTACGTTCCCATTCAGTGCTCCAGCTAGAACACGGAAGAACACCACTGAGGCATAGGAAGTAGATAAACCCATTCCGATCGCTGAGATACAAGTTCCCAGCAGCCCCACGAGAAGGACTCGCTTTCGACCAAAAAGAGGACTGTCAGCCACATGTCCCCATAACATGCCAGTAACACACTGAGCAGCGGCGAATGCGGCAGTGAGAAGACCGGCCTGTCTTGCAATTGCCGAGTCTGGCAGAGATGGACTGAGAAATTTCAACTGATAAAAGAGGTACGATGTAAGTGACCGCTCAGCCAGCGGTTCGGCCAGGCGGGCAAAGACGACCATGCCCAGCTGCCACTTCTTGGGCATTGACATCCAAGACACTGGTTGTTGGGGTGCTTCTGTCTCAGCCACGAGACTCAAGTCGGGAGTCTGATACGAAGGAACGGCCATATTGGAATGACTGGCTTTGAGAAGCGGTGTCTCATCATTGACAACTACGTCGTCATCTTGATGTTGGTCTCGACTGTTGCGTCTCCCTTGCGAACTTGCCGTCGAGCGAGGGCTTTTTGGGGCCGAGGAATCGTCCGGCCTCGCCATTTTCCTATTGGTAAAACAAAAATACAATGAACAACGGAGAAGGTTCCAATGGCGGCAAAGAAATGCAAGCTGCAAGGTGAGCTTCTAGATCAAATGCTCCTTCTGTCGTATCGATCCACGTTAGCTTCAACCCCAGTACGCCCACACCAAGAAACGCGTGCAGGGATCAAAAGTCCCGCAAGATGCATGCACTTTCAGGTCGGCTCCCACTCACTCGATAGATCGACTTTTGTTAATTCCGAAGTAGTCCAGATGGGCGTGAAAAAGACGTTCAAAGCGTGGTTGATTGACGGATGTTGGCCGCGTAGCAGTCTTGGCAGGCTCGCTCGCTCGAGCCGAGCGGGATAACGTCGTATCACCGAGGAACCATGAAACCTGTTTCCAAGCTGTGATTCGTCCGTTCTTCAACGTCACCTCGTTCGACCTATTGTTGAAGATGAAGAAGAACAAGAGGAAACTATGCGTATCTAGCTCATGCGAGTAAGGTTCGGTCAGTGAGTATATGAAAGCTGCTATTTCCCTCCTGCTTGCGACCTCTTTTCCTCGGGAACCAGCGAGGTTTTATTCAGGGAACCCAGTACTCTGTGTTAGGATCTGATAAAGTCCAGTTGCTCCAGAATGTCATTCAACACCAAACTACCGCGATTTAGACTTCAAGACTTCCCTTGCAACGGCAGGGATTTTGGATCTGCATGAAATATCACTGTGAGAAATTCTGCACAAACAGTAGAGCAATGCTTATTGGCGTCTTGGACAAGATGGACCTCCACTTCTTGCGCCGCCGCTACTCACTTTGGGCTATCCCCGGGACAGATTTTTTCAGTGACAGCGCTTTGGCTTGCTTTGCCTCCTTTGTCGGCCCCAAGGAGACTCATCATGTTCCCAGTTTGGTGGTCCAACCTTGTCATCACCGGGTCTAGCTCCTGCAGATTCATGAATCGAAGGGTCTCTGCAACCTTGATTTCGGCGAACTGTGGATCTAATCTGATTGATTAGATGCGCCTTCGTCGGACTAGACAAGTTCATCGCCTGCTCATCCGCACGTGGTGCCACCCAGTTCCCAAGCGGGAGCGCCTGACGAACGCAGGGCCATCCACGGCTTGCGACCCTAGACGCGTAGTCGGTGTTAGGACCCTCCGTTGCTGTCCATCGGTCAATTTCGGAGTGACATTCATGTAAACTATGCTATAAGAACCAAACTTCGTCAAATATTGACATCGTCTCTCGCTCTACAGTCGACACTCTAGGTTTTTCCACAGTCGGACGATCTCAGCTCAACCTCTTCTCCTCCTCAACACCTAAGCAATGGCTGCCGAAGCAGTGCCGCCCCCTCGGGATGCCGAGCAAGCTCCCGCAGACCATGTCTCTGAGACAAGTCAAACCGAGAAGCAGGGCTTTACAACCGCTGTCTCCGCGTCCCCGGATAGCGACGGAGTCTCAGTCAACAGCAGCCTCAGACCAGTTCCTTTGACATGGAAGCTGGCCTCTGTTGTGTTGGTAACTGCTATTGGATTCGGTTCTCAGTGGAGTTCCGGCCTCAGCGGTGCCATGAAGACAACGATGAAGAAGGAGATGAAGATCAACAACACGCAGTTCTCCCTTTTGGAAGCTAGCGAGGATTTCATGGTCACAGCTCTGATGCTTCTCAGCGGTGTTGTTACGGATAGGATTGGTGGCGCTGGTACGAAGAACCGGAAATCTTGACACGAGCATTGCTGACAGACCACTAGGTGCCATGTTATACGGCAATTTCCTTTACTCAGCCGGCTCGATTCTTGTGGCAGCGGCAGCTCAGACCCGCTCTTACAAATTCATGATTGCGGGCAGAGTGATCCGCTCCCTCGGAGATATCGCGACTCAAGTGGCGCAATACAAAGTCTTTTCATCCTGGTTCGCCCCCGGCAACGGCTTTGCCTCGACTTTGGGCTTCGAGCTGGGCATCGGCAAGATTGGTGCATTTGCTGGAAAATCGTCTGCCAATATCATCGCCAAGAAGACGGGAGATTTCGCTTGGGTGTTTTGGGTTGCCGTTTTCATGAACCTTTTCACGAACGTCATGACGGGCGTGTTTTACTGGTTTACAAAGGTTGCGAACAGCAAATTCCACGGCGTCAGCGACCCAGCCACCGGCGAGAGGTTGAAGGAAAAGACGAAGAAGTTCGAGTTGCGGAAGGTTCTCGAGTTGCCGTGGGCCTTCTGGGCAGTCATGGGCTTCTCATTATTCGAAACGAGTACCGCCATCGTCTTCCTGCAGAACGCCACCGAGCTCGCCGAGCAGCGCTTCGGCACAAGCTCCATCACTGCCGGTTGGTACAGCGCTACGTTGCAATATGCCGGTAATTATTTGCTCTCTCGTTTTCCCAGTGCCCTTCAGTCAGCTAATATAAGTAGGATTCTTCGTTGTTCCCCTATTGGGAGTCTTCCTTGACCTCTACGGTAACCGTATCTCAGTCTGTAAGTGTTGATCGATTCCACAAAAATGAGGTCTTGTAACTAACACAGCCCCCTAGTGGTCTTCTGTGGCATCGGAATGTTTACCTCCATGTTGCTCGTGTGCTTCGCCAATACCACTCAGGGCACTGCTGCGAGTTTCGGAGTCTTCGCTTTCGCCTACTGCTTTGGACCGGCCACAATTATTGACAGTATCCGCACATCAATGTGGGACTCAACCGTCTTTGGTTCAGCATATGCTCTGAAGATCACAATGAACAACGCGTAAGACTTTTTGCTCAAAACCTTTCCTGATGCTCGTCCAAGCTAATATGATGCTTCTTCTGCAGGATGAACATTGTCGTCCGCGTCATTACTGGCGTCATCCAAGACAACGACAACAACTCTTACGACAAGGTGACTATTGTCTACGTCATTCTTGCTGGAATCTCGGTGGTCGTTTCCTTCCTTCTGACGTTTGCTTCCTGGAAGTCCGTCGACCTGGGACACCTTCAGTGGACACGCAAACTGCGCATTGCGCGTGGCGAGATCCTCAACGTCAGAAAGGAGAGGTTCTACGGACAGAATGGCGAGAAGAACAGACTGATCTCCAAGAGCTGCTTCGTAGCATTGATCGTGCTTATCTTGGGAAGTTGGTGTGGATACTTCTGGGGAGTTGCGACTGGCAACAACTCTTGATGACTTGAGCAGAGGACGAAACAGGTTGCGATGACTCGTAAGGGACATTCAACATCGTAAAACATGGTCATAATGATCATGATGAAGTAATATTTAGTTGAACTAATACAATTGACGATAAGCGGTCATTCCGGTTGCTATGAAGCTTACTTCCAGCGCAGCGTCATGTAGCTCAAGTAATGTGCAGATAAGCAAAACTTCTACCGTGGCGTCGATGGTTTAGCGGAGAAGAAAGCCGGGGTAAACCGGATCAGAAGGATCGATGTAGAAGTTCATCCGCCCGACCAGATTGGCGTGACCTCGGACGCGTGGGATACAGGCAGGAAAGCCTTCCACGGGACTTGTCTCTTCGGATACAATGTCGGCTTGAAAGCGGGTAGAAACGATGGACTGGTGCATAAGCTTGGAGCGACCCGGTGCTATCCTGCCCTGCGCAAGCAGCACAGCAAGCCTTGCGCAGGTACCCGAACCGCACGGAGAACGATCAATTTGTCCATCAGCAAAGACGGTGACGTTTCTCTGTTTCACCTCGTCTCGCTCTTTACTGACATCGCCTTCTTCGTTGTAGAAGATCACGCCATATAGATCGTAGGTGCCATAGTTGGCCTTGCCACCGATGGAAGCTTTGATCTCTCTGCCAAGTTTGATAAAGTCTTGATGGCTGCCAGGCTCCACCATAAGTCCGATCTGAGATGCATCCAGCGTAGCGTAGACTGCACCAGCAAAGGCAAGGTCGACGTGAATAGTTGCATGATGAGACGGGATCTGGACCTCCAGGTCCTTGACAAGTTGGTAGCTCAATACGTTAACAAAGTCGGTATAGACAGGTGTGCCCTGCTTAACGCCTACGCTGGCAACCACGCGCCCAGAAGGAACATCGATGATGACGTCGACAACTCCGTCATCTTTGGGTGCTTCAACGAGTCCCTTGGTAACAGCCCAGTATCCCAAGGCGATAGTTCCATGCCCGCATGCAGTCGAAAATCCGTCTTTATGCCAGAACATGACCCCAAAGTGAGCCCCAGAATCATCAGGCGGCGTGATGAAACCTCCGTACATGTCCGCGTGGCCGCGGGGCTCGTGGCATAGTGATTGGCGAAGCTCATCTAACGGGTGGCCAGGAGTCTTGATAACTGCGAAACGACGATCGGCTACGGTTTGGGCCTCGGGTAGATAACCGTTTGGCAGCCTGTCCACGATACGGAAAGGTTCGCCGGCAGTATGCCAATCCTCGGACTCGACCCAGAAAGGGCTCTTCTCACTAGTAGACATCGTGAATGCCAGGGCGGATGGAGACCTTGGGCAAATGGATTGTTCTGGCACTTTCGAAAAGGTAAAGAGTAAACGTCAGTCTAGGTTCCTCAGTGGATCAGTCTGTTTTTGACAGGATACGTCTGAAATAAGTACGTGCCAGGGCCCTCCGATATAGGCGTCCTCAGAATCTCACCCGGCGCAGGCTGGATAACGGCAATGCCCCGCATCGGAAGGCCGACCCGGTCCGGTCAAGATGGGGCCCGGAAGAGGGTCCCGAGAATACGAGAAATACTGAGGATTTTCGTATTAGCCAATGGGCCCTTCAAAAATCATTGTGAATGCGCGGAATTAGCGATTACCTTTGCAAAGCAAGATGCCAAAAAAACCGCGGTTTTTCATTTTCCAGATGATAGGAGACTCCAAGGTTTTGTTAGATTTTGAGACTTTTTGCGGACTGAATAATGCTCATATCAATTAGCTGGACTGGAAGCTGACTGCGAGTGGCTTTGGTAAAAAAGGGTAGTCGCTAAAACAGTGATAGGGGCTTAAATGAACCCTGGTTTAGCCGAAACTCATTTGTGAAGAGTTTACGAGACATTTCAATCTTCTCAGGCTTCTTGTCTCTTGTCGTGAGCTCCGAAGTGAATCGCACTTGTTGGCCGCTGTGTTAAGTGTGATGCACATATGCTTCTGAAAAGCCTGGGCAGGATGGAGCCGAATTCGACGGAAGTCGGAGGATGCGGGTCCGGCTTCTTCACAAGGATGTACTTGGTCAAATGAACGAATCAGAAAACTTGAGAATAATCGCTACGTCGGTATCAGAATGATTTGAACAAGTTTCCTCTGTCCTCAATGATAGGGCTTCTGGCACAAACGCGAAGCCGAGGGCGGGCCTTACCTGATTGAGGCCTTCCACGACGGAGGTCTGTGAAAGACTTACAATGATCCGCCGTACCCTCATAGAAACTGACAATGCATGAATTGTAGAGCTTTCTGCTGATCAAAAGACACGGAAATCGCTCACATTTGGTATCGGGGAGAGTCTTAGGCCGAACTCTGAAGCCCCAGTGAGATCAGGGTGAGCCTATGACCCGTGAGGGATGAATCTGGGGTTTTGACCAGGGCCGCGTCTTGGCTTCCTGATGAGGCCTAGCGCCGATCGCATATCCTGCCGGCCTCCCGGTCCGCCGGGTCTGCCATTTGATAAGAAAAACACCCCGCCCGCCAACCTTCACCACCTCGGCCTCCACACCTCGCCCGGACCCAACTTCACGCAAACATCCAACGTCAAAGACACTCGGCAGCCAACCAACGATGTTCCATCCATCATGCCAGACGCGTCCCACGCTTCCGTTTCGTGCTGGACCTGTCGGCAGAAGCGGGCCAAGTGTGACAGACTCCTCCCGACTTGCCTCCGCTGTACCTCCTTGAAGCTTCGGTGTCAAGGATATGACCGGCCGAAGAAGTTAGTGTGGACCAATAGTGTGGCCAGCCGAGGCAAGATGATGGGAAAAGCCACATACGGCGCAGATCAAGAACCGAGTGATGATCTTATAGCAGCAAGACCTTGTCAGTCTGGCCCTCTCTCAGTGGGACACTCTCGGGACACTTTGCGCGAAGCACTGCCGGCATCATTTGGCGCGCCATGGTCTCTCATCGACCCCGACCTGCAAGACATGTCAATTGATTGCCGGAAGTACATACGCTACTGTAAGCTGTAACCCAGACCGGAATCATCCCACGGTGAAGGCGCTGACCATGCTGTGTTAGTTGACATGGAAATGTCCAAGGAATGTGTCGTTTACCAGACATCCAGCAATCCTTTCTTGTCCCTTATGCCGCTTATGTCCAGGAGCCATGCCTTGTCCCATGCTATGATCGCGATCTCGGCCTTCCACTACTCTCATCGGCTTGTCATCAACCAGATGCAAATTTCCTGTGCGGAAAGAAGGCTTCTTGAGGTTGACAATACTTCACTGTGGCATAAGTCACAGGGACGCGACTGGCAGCTGAGCCAGCCAAACTTCTCACCCTCACTGCGTGTAGCTCTAGCTCATAAGCAAAGAGCTCTGCAATATCTCAAGGTAGAAATCCGAGACGACGATGTGACAAACAACGATGCCGCCGTGGCAGCTATCGTTCTATTTATCTGCATGGACGTGGTTGAGTTTGGCAGCCGTGGATGGGAGCATCACTTGGGAGGTGCCGGCGAAATACTCCAACAGCGGAAAGCTACCCTTCAGAATCGCAGTCTTGGAACCAATCATTGGCTGGAGTATTTTGAAACAGCCTACACGACGTAAGGGCACTTCCTGAAAGCTTTTGCGTGGACTCGTTCCTGACTTTCCTCGTAGATTTGGGATCATGGGCGCAACACTGGCGCCAGCGAAGGGCTCTTTCGCTCAGCAACTAGCATCCCTTGACCCGTCTCTCCTAAGGATCTTGCGCCAGTCTGAAGATCAAACTTGGGTTGGCTGTCCTGCCGAGCTGCTGTACCTGGTTTCCGTCATCAACTCTATGCGATCAATCTCGACATGTTCTGAAGCAAAGCAGCTGAAGGTCGATGAGCTGTGCAAAGGTCTCGAGAACTTCTCGCCATCAGCTTGGGCAGAGAATTTCCCAGATCCGGAGCACTATCAGTCGCGATCGCACCTTGCGCACGCTTACAAGGCGGCGGTTGAAGTATATGCCTCTCACATCGTAGGGCCGCTGCTCGATCAAGGGCATAATTTCTCTGACCTGTATCTCGAAGGGGTAACTCGATCCGCCATACTCCATATGCTCTCCATTTCAGCCCAGGACTTCCATGTGAAGAGCCTGGTGTGGCCGGCCTTTGTCGTTGGGGCAGAGATTCAAGCGGCCGATCTTAGGATCATGGTACGGGAAATCTTCAGGAATATCTGGATATCATCGTGTTGCTACAATGTTAGAAATGCCATTGAGATGCTGGAAAGGATCTGGGCCCGAGACGATGATGAGAAGATGGCAAAGTCTTGGCTCAACTATCTCTGGTCACTGGAAGATAGTTGGCTATTCCTTTAGCCCAGACCAATCGACATCTACGAAAGTCAAGGCGACAAACCGGAGCCCGAGGACAGAGCTTCGGACAAGGATGATACATGTACTTGGTGATAAGCAGCGATGCCAAGGTGCCGTGACAGCATGGAACGAAGCTGCAGGACGCTTATACCCGGATGGGGCATGCGGGTCAAGTGCCACTCCTAAAATGTGGATCACCTGCGCCGAACTTACGTCGCTGCAACGGGGTCCGATAAGAAGGAGAGTTCCCGCCCCGGTTTGAGGCCAGCAACAACGGTGCCGCCAAACATCCACGCATCCACACCTTACCGGACTCCGTTTATAAGACCTTTCTGTTCCCTCATCTGTGCTTGAAATTATCTTGAGTCTCTTCATTTACAATCCCTCAACTACATAGCCTATCTCCAGCATGTCAGCACCACACCCCCTCTGCCCCCTCTCGGGTGCGGAGATCAAAGCCGCAGCTCAAGTGATCCAGACTGCTTGGCCAACATCTGTTTCTCTTCGGTTCAAGGTGGTGACTCTCAGTGAACCCGCCAAGGGAGAACTGGCACCTTACCTGGACGCAAAGGACAAGGGACTGTCCGCTACTCAACCTGACCGCAGGGCTTTCCTTGCGTACTACATCCGGGGAACGGTACGACGACCAGGCTTCGCTTACTTGAGCTCCGACAAGAAAACTGACAAGACCCATCATAGGATCTCTTTCACGAAGCGGTGGTCAATCTGACAAGCGGAAAGGTTGAGAGCAACCTCAAGCTTGGTGCCAATGTCCACGGCAACGTCGACTATGATGAGGCTCAGTTGGTCGAGAAGATTGCACTCGAGGACCCCAAGGTCCTTGCCGAGATTAAGAAGCTCGAGCTACCTGAAGGCACAGTCGTCTGCGCTGATCCTTGGATCTACGGTGGGTGTCTGAACTAAGTGTTCGTGTTTCTTACAACTAAGTTCCACCAGGATCTGATGGTGTCAACGATGATGCCCGTCTATATCAAGTTTTCCTCTATATGAGAGACCCCAACAACTCATCCGAACCCGACTCTAATCACTATGCTTTCCCGTTACCGATTCTGCCTGTGGTTGAATGCAACGAGTACAAGATCATCCGCATTGACATTCTTCCCACTGGTGCGGACAACACCATCAAGCCCCTCAGCCCATACACGCCTAAGCCAGGAAACGAGTACATCCCTGAAGCCCAGAACCTCCGGAAAGATCTCAAACCTCTGCAGGTTGTCCAACCCGAGGGACCGAGTTTCACCGTCACGCCCGTGGGAGAGACCGGAAATGTGCTCGAGTGGCAGAAGTGGAGTTTCTTCATTGGTATGTACAGCGTACTTGAGAGAGAACAAAATGGCCGGGAGTAGTGGCTAACACAGAGTCTTTCAGGCTTCAACCAGCGCGAAGGTATGGTGTTGTACAACGTCAAGTACGATGGCCGTCCGCTATTCTACAGACTGTCGCTCTCAGAGATGAGTGTGCCCTATGGTGACCCGCGTCATCCCTTCCATAAGAAAGCCGCTTTCGATCTCGGTGATGCGGGCGCGGGAGCCACTGCCAACAACTTGCAGCTGGGCTGTGACTGCCTAGGAAGCATTCAGTATCTCAGTGGTGTAATTTCCGATGACCGCGGTCAGCCGGAGTCCAGAGATAACTGCATCTGCATCCACGAGCAAGATGCAGGCATTGGCTGGAAGCACACCAACTACCGTACAGGACGTGCCGCGCTCGTCCGATCTCGCGAATTAGTGCTCCAGAGCATCATTACGGTCTCCAACTATGAGTACATCTTGATGTTCTTGTTTAATCAGGCGGGTGAGGTGACTTACGAAGTCCGAGCTACCGGCATCCTATCAACACAGCCCATTGACCATGAGCTGGACAAGGTCGGCACGTCTTTCGGTACCGTTGTCCACCCTGGTGTCCTCGCGGGACACCATCAACACATCTTCTCCCTGCGTGTCGACCCCATGATCGATGGACACACCAACCAGCTGGTGTACTCGGAAGCGCACAAAATGCCGCGCGATCCCAACTGGAACCCCCACGGCACAGGTTACGAAGTCATCGACAAGGTCGTGGAGAAAACATCGGGTCTTGACCTTGACTTTGACGTGAACCGCACGTTCAAGATCACCAACCCCAATTCCCTCAACCCCATCAACGGGAAACCAGTGGCCTACAAGATCATGGCGCCGCCTTTTCAGAAGCTGATGAGCGACAACGACAGCTTTAACTACAAGCGTGCTGAGTTCGCGGACCACAACATCTATGTCACAACACATCGAGACCGGGAGCTTTACGCCGGCGGTTGGTATACCAATCAGTCTCGTGGAGGCACCGGTGTTAGGGGCTGGTCTGAGCGAAATGAGACATTGACTGCCGAGTCTGACATTGTCGTCTGGGTGCAGTTTGGCATCAACCATGTGCCAAGAATCGAAGACTTCCCCGTCATGCCGGTCGAAATTCTCAAGGTACATCTGAAGCCGGTCAACTTCTTTGACAAGAACCCCGCATTGGATGTGCCTCCTAGTGAGCAGAGTTTTAACAAGAGCACTCTGGTTGAAACTAGCAAGGCTGCAAAGGGGGGTGACGGCTGTGGTTGCGACGGCCCTGCTGCAACATCGAAGCTATAGCCGCCAAATTCTTGCATGTACTTTTCCATCCAGGCAGGCCACTGTTTCCCCAGAATACATGTCTACCTACTATCAAATCATTTTCCCGTATTCAATAGCTGTGGCAAAGGAAAGGGCCCGAGGATTACCTATACGCGAATAAGGGGACTTTCCACCTCCATCTACCTAAGGGATGTCTCTGAGGGGCGATATGATAACACTGCATACCAAAGATTATGAACCGACCTCTTCATATCATGATTGGTATGGAGATATTGGCCCTTGTTTAAACTTTTAAGTCTATCGTGCATGTGGATAGTGGCTAGATTCATCGGGTCACTTGCGACGGTGCTTCCGAAGTTCCGACTACCGAGTGGTACCATGGCTTGCGGCTGAAATTCTTCACGCCAAGCCCAAGGAACTGCGAATTCCAACTCCGTCACTTGTGGCTGAGATAACGGTACCATACAATGATCATAGCAGGACTTGAAATTAGTGGCCATCTTTCCGTCGTTGTCTTGATGCTTGTGATGCATCCCATCGGCATCGAGCTGAGCATTGCGTTCTCAACCTTGTGCTCCTATGATCGGAATGTTTACATGTCGCGGGCCGAGACTATGCCCCTCGCCACTCGGTAAGCAACTCCGGTAGCTTATTGGCAGGCATAAAAGAGCGTGGAATGCGGGTGTGGGGTTGTTCATGAGATCACGACACTCCCTCCAGCGTGGCAGCGAATCTCCTCGCGCAAGCTTGGTAGGGGTCGAAATCGTGTAACAAACACGTTTTGCATGGAATGTCTCGCAATGGACTCTCCCAAATGTGTGTAACGGCGACTAACCCCATCAGTGCCGAGATCTCCCTGGCCCCTGACTTAACCGCCCATGTCTCACAACTCAAAAGCATGGTGGCGCGGGCGGAACGATTAGCCTCACGAATGCACTAGTGCAGGCCCAACACCTTAGTTGCTCAGAAAGGTCGAGCTCATGTATTCGAAAGTCAACATTGCGATAATACTCGATCGTTGTTTTCATTCTTCTGTCTTGGGCGAAGTCCGACTACTCATCTACGCAGGCTTGAACATATCGGGTTACGATCCTGGCTTCGATGAGTGCCATCTCGAAGCCCCCTTGTTAGTGTCGAAGCTTGAATGTCTTTGGGCTTGACTGAGACACAGCCATATATGATTGGGAATGCTGATGTATCTTGTGGCCTCTCATTGCATTGCCTCAGTCTCGGGCAGACCACTCGCTGGTGAGCGGTGTTCCGATTCGGATGCGATTCCTCATCCGGCCCTGTTCGCCCTCTCCTCCCTTGGCATTCCCATTCCTGATTGCCTCGGTTTCTTATCGGCACAGCTTGTCCGCTAGGACTCATACATCGCAGCCTCACGTCTTGAGTTATAAACTCGTGAAGCCTATTCACTGCAGAAAACCGGGAGACTCACAACAATACTACCTCTCGAACAGTTCTTTTCAAACCAGACCGCCTCCTCACCACGAGCTTGTTTCCTTGCTTCTCTCGAATCTCTATTGTCTAATACAGCTCGAGATGCTGAACCAAGGCGAGCTCGGCACGGCCATGAAGGTCCTCTCCAAGGAATCCGCCGATACCGTACGTGGCTGGTTCTCGGGAGAGCAGGCGGGCGAGTCCTACGAGCCACTCCTTGAAGACGAGGAAGCAGATCTTTCGGCAGATCTCTCTGAACTATCGTACGAAGAAGAAAAGCCAATTGAGTACACCAGAAGGAGTTGGTTTCGATTCCGCCGTTTCCATGCACGACGCATCTTCTGGACCTTGGTGCCATCGTTCGTGGCCCACGCATACGGCCATGGGGACGAAGATTCCGTGGTCCCTGAATCCCACTCAACGTCGTACCTGAACGGCCTCCGCGGCATCGCGGCAATGGTTGTCATTATCCTCCATTACACTGATGATGTGAGCATCCATTGAATGGGATATACCATTATGAGAAGATGGCTGATAATCTGGTGCTTAGTTCGTTTACATCAATCATGGCTGGGGAGAGGATCCGAACAACCACTACTTATTGCAACTCCCATTCATCCGACTTATCCACTGCGGAGTCTTGAGCGTCATGATCTTCTTCGTCCTCAGCGGCTTTGTGCTCACATATAGCCCGTTGAAGAAGGCTCACAGTGGACAAGTCGAAGCCTGCATTGGGTCCCTTCCATCAAGCGTTTTCCGCCGCGGTATGCGGCTATTTTTCCCGACTATCCCCCTCCTTTTCATTGTTCTCGTCTTGAAAACATACGGGTTGTACTACAATAGCGGAAGCAGGGATCCCGAGGCAGCCCCAGCCACCGGCATCTTGGCGCTTCTCGTCTTGATATGGCAAAACTTCATCATCATCACGACTCAGACTACCACCGCCAGCTTCTTGCCTCAGGCCTGGACACTGTCAGTTGAGTTCAGGGGATCAATTCTCGTGTTCCTGTGCTGCTTGGCCCTGGCACGGGTGTCCCCCCTGGCCCGGCTATCTGTGGTAGCGATCATTTTCGTTTTCTTCTGGACCCTCGGCGCGGATGGAGACATGTGGCAGCCCTGCCTCTTTCTCTGGGGCATGGTTCTCGCTGACATCCGCCATTTGCGGAACAAGCTACCGAGCCTGGAAGGTTCACTTGAGAGAACGGCTTCGTACAGCTGGTGGCTGGTCTTTGTGTTCTCGCTCTGGCTGGGAGGCTACCCCATCAATGGCCACACCTTCAATGCCGTGGGATACGGGTGGCTCGAAATGTTCCCCACGTTCGGCCAGGACCCGGCGCGCACTTTCCCGGCTGTCGGTGCCATGATACTGGTAACCTCCCTGGAGAACCTGCCGCCTTTGCAGCGCTTGTTGAACGCGCGCTGGGTGTTGTACCTGGGCGAGGTCAGCTTCGGCATGTATCTGGTTCACTGGGCTGTCGAGAGGTCTTTCCTCGGCCTGGGTCTCAAGTTCTCGATGCAGAACGCCGGGTATTCTCTCGGTGTGGCTTGGACTTGCAGTTTTACCGTCGTAATTGTGCTCACCTTGTGGTTCGGAGATTTGCACTGGAGATTTGTTGACCAGAAGTGCGTTCGACTTGCACGCTGGTTGACTACGACATTGGGAGTGTAGTATGGGAGCATTCATTCCGAGACTATCTATAATCATGATTCCTTAGCATTGTTGTATTGGTTTACTCTAGAGATCACATGTAGATTGACGGCGTTCAGATGATTTTTCCAGCGTCTTCTATTATACCTCTTGACTCTTGTTATTGGATCTAACCGGTGATGAATGGTATTGGAATCGCGCCAACGGCGACCTTCTTGGCTTATGGCCCTGTTGTGATCGGTGTCGAGAGCTCCAGATTGATAGAGCTCCACGACCACCCATACAAGGGCTAGCAGTCTTAAAGACGTGTTTTAAGCAGATGCGATCGATGTCCCCGATTACGAGAACGAAGATATTGCGAACGGAACTGATGTGCGAAAAGATGATTCCGGATATTGACCACACCCACACCGTAACTGATCGCGTGTGCGTGTCGTAGAATGACATCGCCTCCTCCGATGCCGTGTTTGTTCGTCTTAGGCTTGTCGATGAGAATTATCAGTATTCATCGTCCTTTCCCCGCGCTGCTTGCACCCGGGTCGCGCTGGGTTTCTCGCTAACGTCCGATAGTGTAATTGTTGGTATACAGGTGAGCAGGTCAGACCTTTCGGTCGCGACGAGGTCAACAGTACTGCATTGGTCTATTGCGCGTGTGTAGGAGGGGAAGTTCGTAGGCAGAGCCCTCGATCCCTCAGTGGGTGTAAGCGAGTGGAAGGGTATCACCCCTACCTAACCGTCTACCTAGACCCTTTTCTGCCTTTTGATCCAACAAGGAGGAATTGGCCGAAGCCCACGATTCCTCAGAAGTAAAAGTAAGTGGAAGGGCCAGGCTTACGGCCCATTTCCATGCTATCTGACCGGGAACCAGCAGCTGGATCATGGGTAACGGCTGTAGCATCAGCAGCTGCTGGTATGCATACGCCGCCCTCAGGAGCAACCAGGCTTCTTGCTCCGATAGCTTTGGCGGGATGAGCAGATATACGGTGACCGAACATGTCCAAGTCTTCCACGTCTGGAGGCTCATGTGAGCGCCTAGCAGAGGATCTCTGATAGACATCGACCCGCTGCCTAGCCTGACCATCGATTGGCAAGGCACCCATACATGACTAGCTTCGTAAGAAGTCCCAAGATCGCTGCCGGCGAGCTCAAACTCGCGGGCTTCGATCACGGAGATCTTCACATGCTGTCCACCTCCTGCTTGCCACAGTTGCGTCGGTGTCACGTCGAACGTGATCTCCATGTCTTCAAGGTCGAGGAGAGAGTGGGTGACGTGGTCCTCCATGATAATATCTTACTAAGACGACGCTAATGGCGCGAAAGATGGCTTCAATGTATGGGGGAAAGAAAGAAGAGCAAGCCAACATCGGCTCTTCTCATGTCTTCCTGACTTGAATGATGTGGTGCTCGCTAACCCCCGCGATCACTTCGGCCGTCTCCTCGAATAAGCCCAACATAGTGTACTTGGATATGTCCACTAACTTGATGTTCTGCGTTGTTCCTTGGTTTCGCCCGCAGTAGTGAACCGTGTACCTGGTCCCGGGGAAGCCGTGGAGGCCCGCACTGCACTGATTATACGTGCTAAAGAGCACCAATGACATTGTCGAAATCCCGTAGGAGCGACAGTAGGTGCGATGTGAGGAATCTTGCCAGGGGTGGTATATACTCAAGAGGAACGCAACAATAAGCGGGACTATCATCCTTGTTGTTGCGAGCCACCGCAGTTCCTGCCTTCGCCTCTTCCTTAACAGCCATGCCGATCAGCTTGGCCAGGTGGTAGAACTCTTCAGGGAGCGGGTCGCCGCTATCATTAATGAGATCGGCGCCAGAAGATAGATACTTAAGTTTCTCTCTAATATGGACCTCTATGGCCATCATGTCCACATACTCCATCACCCCAATCAAGTTAGCCTTAAAATTAGCAATCATAGTACCAAAACAAAAGGTTACGAACTTACTACTCTCGACGTCCTCCAGATGTCTAGAGCCCTTTGGGAGGTCGACTTCCACGTCGGCTAGGGCCTCTTGGAAGTCGCCCATTAGGGTAGTCACGTAAGGCGCGTCGAGGATCTTCGACACCCCGGCGACGCTCTTGGGGTTAGGTGGCCTCGTGTCCGCGATGACTCCCTTGCTCCCGAGGCTTGGGTGGGACTTGGAGGCGACAGTGGTCTCCTGGTAAGTGCGGCGAGGGGGTTCGGCGATCTCCTTAATATAGCCAGATACGCTCTTACTACTAACGTTGGGCTCTGGGCTATCGGGTTCATCGGTATTATCGAGAACCTGCCCAAGACGGACCCGTTCGGTCACACCACAGACGCGCATAGGCAGTCGCTTGAGGGCCGCTGGTATACGTTCTCGTTGTAGGTCCCAGATGATCCGACGGTCCGCGATATCCCGAGATACACGGAAGTCCAGGCAGCGAGGGTCCGTAGACCGGCTCGGTCAGGATGAACGACGAGACAGGCACTAGTATGCCCGCTTCCATCTTGACCAGGTGACGCGGAACACGGTTATGGCGCTTTCGAAGCGGGGGAAGAAGGTGTAGACGCGGAGCAGCCTATGGCAGCTGAAGTCCACCGTAAGCAAGCTTCAGAGGGTCGAGCATGAACTCTTTCATGCGACCGCCGCGAGGGTTGGAACAACCCAGCACGCTCTTTCGTTTGTCTCGCAACTCGAAACGGGCCCAGGGTAGCACTGCTGATTCGCTACGGCGGCTGTGGGCGCTTTACTAGTCTGAGGGGCGCCAGGTACGTGGCAGCAGTAGATGAGCTGGTAGTCGATTGCTTCCGCGGGCCCCTAGTATGACCTATAGCGAGAACGAACGGTAGTGGTTTCGTAAGGTTGGTGGTATCGTCGTTAAGAAGATTGCCAAGAGGCGTTGGTACTTCTCGTACACCTCTATGCGGCTCAGGTTGACCCTGATCACCGCGGCGCCGCTCGAGTCCGTGAAGCTTTGGATTAGGCTGATTCCTTGGATGAGTTCCCGCAGGAGATGCGGGTTACGCTCATCTCCCGCGTACTCATGACCTTGCATGATGCTATTAAGGTGGTTAGCACCCCTCAAGATGCATAGCAGGTTGCGCTTAAGCCAGAGCAGAAGCACGCCGAAGATAACGTCCGAAAGCTTAATGGCCTTATCGGCAAGGCTCTTGACAACCTCCTGACGATTGTGGATAACTCGGACGTTAGTGTGGCGGAGCTCCTTAGCGAGAGAGACCGCCATGCCCGTGAGGACACCACAGTCGACCTCCTCGTCGACGTCTCCGAGGAGGTCGAAGTCGCCCGCGGTTGGGACCTCGAGAGCGTCTGAGGCGCTCGCGGCGCCGACAACGTCGTCTTCATCGACCTCCTCAGCCGGCTGGGCTGGCAGCTGAGGACGAGCACTTACGCGGGGGAGTTGGCGCTGGACGCGGGGGAGTTGGCAGAGAGCCGCGCAGGAATGTCGATGGTACTATAATATTAGTGGAAGTTTTAAAGTTTTAGAGGTATAGAAGGTACTTACACATTAATGCGGCGACGGGCGTTGTAGTCGTCCTCGCCCAGGACAGCGCCTTGGGGCGGCGGGGGCGGCGGCACGTATAAGTGCTCAGGGCCCAGTACGATGAGGGGCTCGTAGAATCTCAAATTATAATTAGCTAGGCCTAGGCCACACAATTATTATAGAGGGAAGTACTTACCCCTCGAAGGTCTTTTGCAGGGCGTCGCGCTTCTGGGGAACAGTAGTGTCGATGTCTCATGCACAAAGGGTCCCGGGGGATATGCCGTGGTCGAAGTGGCCGCATAGATAGGTGGTAGATCGAGTAGGTAGATGAGAGACGTCTCACAACAAGTCGAATGGTAATACCTGGGAGTGTGGGAGAGAGAAAGCGAGTGTGATCGGGGTGCTCTGCGTTGAACTTTGTGCCAAGTGCTTCTCCTGTGTAGTCTTTGAAACCGACAGCATGCTACTGATTCGCTGGCTTTGCTTCGCATTAGGATAGGCGAATCAGGCAGTATACGAGGTGCCGGTTGCGCTCCCTCACACTCTCTCCCAGAAACAACGCTGAGTGGCTGAAATTGAGTCGCCAGAGAGAAATCCGACGAAGTGGCCCTTGCTTGCTTTATATAAGTCCCTTGAGGCATGGAGTTGTGATAAGTCTTTTCACGTGGTCGTCCCGCCACCACGATCCAACTCCATCTCGGGTTCCAGGGCCTCTGACCTAGAGCTGAGACAGCTAGAACAGAATGAGCTGCCCGATCCACGTAGGCCAATCCCTCGAAGCGATCCTTCAAGTGATTGTCAAAGATTTCGTATACGGCCTCAAACACGCCGAGCGAGTTCCAAGAAAGGAAACCGCCATTTGCGCTGACCTGAAATTTGCCCTCAATGACGGTCGAGGCAGTATTGATAGATGCCAATCATTCCTGGCACCCTACATGCGTCTCACGAAGAAGCCCAAACGGAAAAAAGCATCCACGATGATGCTCGTAGCTGTGTAGAATATAAGGGAGGGAGATGGTGTCGCGTCAACTCCATGGGCGGCAATTGGCGTACCCCGTCGCCTGTGTCCCAGGCAACAACGAAGAGCGTTCGGCTGAGGCTGCACAATTCCTTCAACAGCAGGTCGTAGTCTAGGCGAAGCCAAGCGTGAACCATCGCGATCGGAACGGTGGGCTTGCCTCCTGACAATAACGTTAGCTCATGGCACTGCTATCAAGACGTGTAGACTCACTATTCAACTACCGCCTCTGCCGATGAACTGTCCAAAGGTACGCAATAGCTACAGAGAGAGGTGGCCGAAGAAGAAACCACAGCAGCAAGGCCCAATCAGCATGAGACTGTGCCGTTCAAACAGTCTTGCAGTATTGACCGATTTGCCCGAGAGTTCAGTCTATAGTACGACTTCAGATCAAGGTTCAAGCTGTTTGGCACGGCCGTCTTTAGTAGCTTCGCGTTGGTGTCGCTCTGGGCAGTGATGATGCCCTTCTTGAGGACTTCCCTCACCAGGGCCTCACCTCTTGCGGTCTTGGCGAGCTTCTCGATCTCCGACTCGGCCCTGGAGATTTTGACTAAGAGGATAAGCTCGTATAGACGGGCCACCGCATTTCCGGCCTTTGCCTCCTCCTTGACAGCCATGCTAATCAGCTTGGCCAGATTATAGAACTCTTCTGGCAGCGGGTCGCCGCTGTCGTTGGTAAGAGCGGCGCCAGAAGATAGAATGATAGGGCAGCCGGACACGGGTCAGTCAGGCAAGGCGAAGGATATGGTGATGCCCAGAGCATTGGCGGATGCCTTTGGCTCGGATTGCCTGATGTTCTGTCCTCAGACGAACAGCGGCCATCCCACCACTTCCGTCAAACCCGACGAGATCGTGAATATATAGGTCTGCGTTCCAGGAACCAGCTGACACATGAGATCGCACGTCGCTCCTTCGTGTCGAAGTACTGGTGAGGAGCGTTCGCTGATGAACAACAGACGTCAACAACAGGCCCAGTATACATACATCTGTCCAACAGTCGTCCCATTTCGGTGTAGTGTGAACGGGGCGCGATCACGTCGTACTGGACGAAATCGTCCGCAGCACCAGACTAGTCAGCCTCGAAGACTGTGGGAAACAGCTATATGCCGGAATGGCTAGGGCCTGGAAACACTACTTCATCTGTCAGCTCGATCCTTCAACAAACGAGACACTATAGCACGTCACAGAGATAGGGACGTACCGAAATATCGAGACTCTTGGACAGATCAGGAGGCAGTGCACATCTGCTTGAACGCGCGTGAACGCGGACTTTGTCCGGACGAAGGAAGGCGCTAACTACATAGGCGATATACCGCTTCTGCTACCTGCAAAAGGGCCCGGGGGATAGTGCCGACCCAGAACGTCAAGAAAAACGAGATGCCAGCAACCAGAACACATCTATGGGATGAAAAAGATCAGAAAGAGTACGAAGGACCTCAAGATTCTAGGGAAGGGGGGAGGGGGGGCATACGCGGAGACTCTACCAACCGAGGAGGGTGATGTGCTTGTAGCACGCAGCTTCAAGTCCCTCCACTGTTGTCCGATCGGTGCCACTGCCGCCTCAGTCGCTGGTGATTTCTCGCGAGGGCCCGGAGTCTTCCGTAGACTCCGCAAAAAAGGGCGCCCAACTACATGTACCGAATCTTAGTAGGCGGGGCAGCAACGAGAAGTTGCAGATGTCACCTAGGCCGGATCATGGTATATGGCAGCAGGATCAAACAGCGAGGCAGGCGCGCGGACAAAGTAAGCTGACGGGAATAGAGCGAATATATACTGGGATCCAGATCAGATCGTAGTCCGAAGGTTCTGAACATCCAGGAGAGAGGAGACGACCGCTCCTCATCTCCATGTCGCGTCGTGTTATAATATCGTAAAACACGTAGTCGGCCAGGATATTCAAAGGACTTGTGTCTCACGTGGACGCGATATAGATGTGGGCCCGGGGGACTTAGATATAAAGAAGGGGGGAGGAAGAAAGGTCGATTATAAGGTGACCGGTAGGAAGGGAAGAAGACAACCTGAGAGCACGATATCCCTCCTGAAGTGCGAGGCGATGTCTGCCGAGTATAGTTGCTGGGCGATAACAAGGCCAGAGTTGAGTAGTCGGGCCTGGGCCCCGGGGGCCACGCAGAATAGTCTGATGAGGGTTGGGGATAAGAGTAAGGTTAGGAGGTGAAGAAGGAAGAAATCAGCGGAACGAGAGGTCGCGGGGGATCCGTTGGTAATAGCTCAGATGATGCCTTCATGGAGAAGAATCAAAACCTGACAACCTCCACCGCCTGGCATACGGGAAGATGCAGGCCATCGGCAGGCAGCGTTTCCATCGCCCGAAAGCGCCAGTCCAGGAGAACCAAGATCTCCTTGATGATCTTTGAGCTAGACAATCCGCGGCCCGACGTTTGAAAGTTGGCACTCGTAGTTTGCAAGGGTTTGTAGTGAACGGGACCAAAGGCAATCTGATTTGCCTCATCAAAGATTGCCCAATGTTTCCAGGATGCAAGACATGGAATTGTAGGAGTGGTTGGAATCTCAGACTCCCGCGCAGGAGACATGCAGCTCGCCTAGGTGCCATTTCAAGCAAACAAGACTGACTGACTGGCTCGCCTCATGTTGTTGCCCATGCCGCATACCAATCTAACATGAGAGATACATCAAACAAACGGATAGGCGCAACTGACGAGAGTGTCAGGGCACACACGGTCCACTAAGAAAGCCAGTGTGCCACGGCTGCTAGCCGTCTGAGCAGTTATCTCAACCAAGATGCCTGGCTTGACCACGATCGCAAGGTCAGTGGGCGGGCGTGAGCAGATGGGACCAACGATGCCCAAGTGGTGGCCGTCATCCGGTGAAAATGAACGGGTCACCAATCTGCCGGCCCCCGGACTCCGTCCGCGACAACACAGTATCCGAAATCTCAGACGCCAGCTCCGACCACATGCCAGCATCAACTACTCCGTAGGCCTTTCTGATATGTGATGACTCTTGGCGACCAAAGAGGTTGGGAACGTCGCAATATAGTCCCGCGGCGCAGTCGTCCCTGCCAATCGGATTCATAGCCGAGGTTGAAATGCCGGAATACGAGATGCCAGCCCGGTGCCATGGACCGGGACGTCGCATCCGCGAAAAAGGAGAAGGGGCTGTCAAACGGACGCCTCTGAGCCGCATGACGCACTACCCCCCAAAGACAAACATGGCTTTGACTACCTACAATGCGGTGGAGCCATTGAGGCTCACAGTGAAAGTCGCGGGTCGAGAGTAAGAGGCCTCTTAGGCCTTTGAGAAATAAGTTTCATTGTTCCCTCCGCTCTCAACACTTCTATCTATCCCGTCCATACCACGAGAGATGGGCTCAGACACAGAGCCATGCATAGACTCTAGACGAGCAACTGCAAGATGCAAGACATGCTCAAAGGCACCTCTTCTCCCAAAAGAAAGCCAAAAACTCCACCATGTCTACAGTGTCCCAGGCAGCATCGTCCACCCAATTACAATTATGGCAAGCAGCCAAGCTTCGGCACCTCCGTGCCATCATATGCTGCCTGGGACTCAAAGAACCAAATCGTATGGCGACATGGCTTGATGACCAAAATGGCTGCGACGGTACGCAACCCAACGCCATTGCAGGCCAAAGTTCCACTGAAGCCGCAGGAAAAGACACCCAATGAAATCAGAAACCAGGGGTATCTCCGCCATTCTCCTTCCTTATAACGTGAAAGACCTCCAATTCCTTTCTCGTGTTTGTGCTTTCACAGCCACTGAAATTCCTCGTCATTGTCCTACTCAATCTCCGAATCCGGCATCGCCGGGACATCTGGCGATTCGTATTCATCCCATGCTTTTTGTATGACGTCCCTATGACATTATGTTAGCTGCCTTTACTTATTCTCGTAAAGACACTGAATACTCACGCCTCAACCTTGATCAGTTCCACCCCCTTCTTGCGGCAAAAGACCAAGAAACGCCTCTTGGTGCGGTCCCTCTTAAACTCAGCCAAGAGGTCACCTCTAGGCTTGCCATCTGGCGAAATTACAACGCCGTCCTTGCAAACCACAATGACCTTGGCAGTGTCGGTGGCCCATTTCATCTCCTGGATGTGTTCTAATTCCAAGTGGAAATTTACCGGCTTGGCGTAAATGCCCCAGGTCAAGGTGTCGCTTTCCGCAAGCACTTGGTGCTCAAAAATTTGCTCTCCATTGTCCGGAATCCAATGCCAGTACTGTGTCACACCGGTGCTAACGCTGTTGAGTCGGGACTTGATCCGGTTCAATGCCCAGTCATGTTGGCCGATATGATCGCCGCTATAGTCATCAACGTCGGTGAAGCCGTCATAGTGTAGATCTTCATCTTTGAGCTTCCCAGGGATCCTTGCTGTCCTAAGCTTCTTGGATTGCCTGGCAAGTTCGGGAGTCGGCGGCGCACTCAAAGGTGTCTCGCTTTTGCGAGATTGAAGTTGGCCTGGTGGCATTTGACTTTGTAGCGGAGGCGGGGGCGGAGGCTGAGGTTGCGGTTGAGGCTGGACAGGTGGATGAACCTGAGGCTGTACATGGGGCTGCATCTGAGGCTGCACCTGCTGGACTTGAGGCTGGGACTGGAGTTGGAGTGTCGGTGTTGGGGCAAGCGGACGCTGGGATGCGAGGGGGTACTCTTCGTTGATGAAAAGTTTCCGCTTTTTGTTGTTTGGGGTGCCTCTGGCCGAGTTGGGCGAGTCTTTTGGCGCCATCTTCATGCCTGACGGTCTTCCGATGCTCTTTTTACCGTTTGCGAGTCTCAGAGCCACGTACTTTGAATCGTGGTAAAAGTCATGGATCGTCTTGGCCAGATTGAAGTCCGGCCCATCCAAGATAATGATTTCCTGCAGGCGTTGGCGTAACCACTCCAGAGGGGTGATGTCAAGAGTCTTGAAGCCTTCCAGAGTTCGCAGAGTGTCGGCTAGACGGAAAATGGTGTCGTAGGAAACCAGCCGGGTCATCATATACTTCTTTCCCACCAGTTGGTAGGGGCAAAAGTCGGCGTCGCTCAAAAACTTCAGAATAGTCTCTCCTCGGTTTACCTGTCTTCCCAGTTGGAACTTCATGCTGGTCTGCCCCTTTTCTAAAGCAGTTTGTAGCTTATCTCGCCATGACTGCAAAGTCGGCTCGATCGTGGGCACGATATCCGGCCAGGCTGGGTCCCAGTACTCGTGTGCCCGATCAATCTTGTTGACGGGTACACCGGCCATGCACTCGGGATGCGTAAAGATCTTCCCGTCGTGCTTCAACAAGAGGTTCGCTTTGGTGATTGGAGTCATGTCCTCTTCTGTCTCGTCAGTAGCCGTTGAGCCCTCGGCAAAGCTCTTATCTCGGGAGCCAGGTCGGCTATGGCCGATGGGAGTTGCAGTGCCGTTGGTGAAGCTGCCGTTGGCGGCTCGTTCGTTATATACATCTTGGGCGTTGAGTGCCTTGAACCCCCTCGTGGGCGGCGTTTGATTTATAGACGACGGGACGTCGCAACAGTTTGTGCTCTGCCAAACGCAGTTACCACATGCTTGAAATTCAGGCATGTCGAGGCCAATGCATTGCACAAAGGGGCCTCTGCCGCTAGCACATTGAGCGCACTGCTGCGATTGTTTCCGGACGAGGCCTGTGGCTTGGATGATGGCGCCTTTCCACTTGTCTTCCGCCTCTCCAAAGGCCTTCATGTCGTCCTGGCTGAATGTGATGCCATCGCGGAGCTGAACAGGTCGTTTCTGAGGTAAGCTGGATAGATATATGACGATCCTGTTGCTCGATACGAGGCGGTTCACCGGTCCAACAGTACGACCCGATGCGTCAATGATCATGGTCAAAGGAGGCTGATTAGGTCTGACATGGCTGGGGATCGTTACCGCGGCGCCGTTCCGATGCTCTCCGTTGGTGTTCATGCCATTGAGTCCAGCACTGGCGACCTTGCTTAGATGTGACGCTTCAATATGCGCCGAATCGCGGCGCGGGGCGGCGCCGGCGAGGGCTGCAGCTGCAATGCTAACACGTGCATCATTCTCTTTCCGGCGTTGCTCGTCGAACCAGACAGCCAACTGCCTCTGATGATGTTCGCGCTGAATCTTCATATCCTTCCTAGTGTTTTGGAACCTGTCGTTGAGCTCTTCAAGGTGCTTATGTTCCCGGGTGATGGCGCGGTGAACTTCGAGGGCACGTCGCTCGAGCTCGTTCTTCTCCAAGTTTAGCTCGGTTAAGCGTGCCATGTAGTACTTGGCATTGTTGAGATACTCTTTGTCGAGGTTTTCATCGTCTTGCTCTTGCAGCTGGCGCATGGACTCCCAGTATTGCTCCTCATCCTGGGTGACAGGCCTCCTGTCATCTCCAGGATCAAAAGGCATGGTGAAGGCGCCCCAATTGGCAGGGTAGCGGTGGTGGTGATGGTGAGCAGATGAAAAGGGCGGGTTTTGAGGGGACGTGTGAGTGAAATGCGTCGATAAAGGCAGCAGTGCGGTTCATCCAAAGTTGGAGACACGGGGCGCGAGCTCTCGAGATCGGTCGGGCAGAAAATCGAGATTACTTGAGCACGAGGGTGCGACCGTTCCAAACAAGACTGGGGTTTCGCATTGAAGGAGATGGAGAATCTTGAATGGAAATGAAATGCGGCGACAGTCCGACCAGGGGTGTGAACTGTGTGGATAAGCCGAAGATGTCGCGAGCGTCGATCAATCCGCGGCGACCTTGGGTGTGTTATGCGGGCGCTATGGCCTGTGAGCCTGTGAGGTGAGGTGAGGTGCTGTCGAGATTTGTGTGTGCCAGTGTGGGATGAGAGGGGTTCTGAAAGTCAGACCGGGGATGGCAAAGTAAGGCGAGGTAGGTTAGGTAGGTATCCCGTAGTGGGAAGTGTAAACCACGTAAAGGGTCGGAAGGAAATAGCCGACGGGAGATGAAAACGTAAAGCGACAGTTGGAAGTTGGTTGAAAGTGAGGGTGAGGTGAGGGTGAAGACGGTAGATGAGGCGATAGCGTCAAAAGATACGGATAGGAACTTGACCGCAACGGGTAGCGGGATGTGGGTGAGTGAGACGTCAAGCGACGCAGATTTGCAGGACGGTGGCTGCTAGTGTGCTGTACGACAGTCCCAAGTCCCTAGGTGGCCGTATCGAAATCAAAATTCCGAGCAATAGAAAGGTAGCGCGGGTGAGCAGGGGAGGAAAAATGGACTAATGCACTTAGTTGGCTGAGGTGCGTCGATGTCGTTGAGGATAGGCGGATTATAGGCCCGGTGGAATTTGGCGATAGACGGATACCTTCAAGCACGCGGTCGGAAAATGGCAATGGGTGCCGGGCTGGGTCAATGGCTGAGAAGGGTGAGCGAGACAGGCCGGGAAGTGATGGGCCGGATTCTCGAGGGCAGAAAAGGTCCGGGGTTACTGCCCAGTGATGATTTGCTGTCGTAGATGCGGACAGAAAGACGTGATGCGATGCGGGTGCGAATGAGATTGGATGGTTCCTTGGGAGAATACCTAGGTGAGTAAGGTAAGGTAGGTAGTCGACTGCACCAAATTGCACCTCAGTCGATGTTGGAAGGCGATTGATTAGTCGTCAGGTAATGAGTATCGCGTATTTGCACGTGATCTAACACAATAAATTAGACGCTTACTCCCCTGTGCCGACGCAATGGAAGGGATGAGGGGGGGGTGGGCAAGATAGTCATTCGTGTATGTACTTGTATAGAGTACGAATAGATAGGGAGTTGGACTGGGGGGAGGTGGGTGTGTGTGTGAGGTAAGATACCTTATTGTGCAATGGATGATGGGGCAGACTGCAGACCGGGTCTAAGAGAAGTTGCGCGTTGGTCGGTCGTCGGCTGTTACGAGCTGTCCGATAATCGACAATCCCCTGATGGACTACCGAGTCGGTTGCGGAAAATGTTTTGTCTGGGGAGGGGAAAGCCAAGCAAACAGAACCCGGGTTTGAATCAGATCGAATGCGTGGTGGCCTTGATTAGAAACCTACCTAGAAAGATGTACTCCGTACCCGGGGGGGGAAGAAAGGGGGCCTTGTGTGAGGGAGAAGGAAAAATTCAACAAAATGAAAGAAAACGCCGGGACAATGGACAATAGCTGGCACCTTGGTCCATGGGCTAAGGTAGGAAAAGCAGCATCAATTTGCTTGCTTCCCCTGCTTTCCTAGTCCCTGAGGCACCTATTCCTATCATGCATCACACCTACCCAAGTACCTTACCTTGCGGAGGAGCTAAGTAGATCATCAACCAGATGGCCCCCTTCACAAAAGGTAATCAATGCCGATGGAAATCCGCACATAGACACAATAAAGTAAGGCACCTCAAATGCATACTGAAATAGTAGGTCAGCTCAAGCACTATTCGTATGAACGTACTCCGTACATACACACTCTTGCCTCAATGTTGGCAAAAGGGCAAGAAAGAATTGCCAGTTGCCCCCACCGGCACATGCACAATACTGAAGAGGAAGCCAATCAACATTCACTGCGTCCTTCCCTTGTTCTATCTTCGGGTGCAATACCCTGCTAGATGGTATCAATAGTTGAGGTAACCTAAACTGATACGAATACCTTGTCACTTACCTAGTATGGAGTACTTAAGCACTTAAGGTAGCGCTACAAAGTACAGAGTACGGAGCACCTTAAGGTAAGGTAGGTAGGTAACGTAAGGTGCTGAGGTGTGTTGGCCCATGCATTTATTGTGCATGTACCTTTCCAATGTATTTTCCCCAGTCCCTCGTGCCTCCCTAGCAAATATTGTTCGACATGGAAATCCGGGCAAGTATTGCGCAATCGGCAGGATGCTCAAGGTACTTACTTACGCATGGATGCAGATAGAGCTTCTTAACCATCCTATGGGCAACACAAACTCATTCCCTCAATCATGTTGATAGAACTGGTTTGTATTGCTCCAAAGAACCATGTCTCATGACAATTGAAATCTAATTACCTAGGTATTCGACCCTATTTTACAATGCCGCACCCAGACCACGTGATTGGGCGCAAGTGCGAGGAAACTCAGGAAAGCCGCTTAGCTTCAGGCTAGCGCACGCCGATAACAGATCCGATGTACCCGATAAGGCTCCTTGACCTGGGTGCCTGGGTCCCCTCCACCTCTTAAGATACTTGTCTCGTCCCCTCCTCCAATATCAAAACCTCCAAGTTCCAGCTTACCCTACCTGCTCAACCGTTTAACCGCCTGAACTGATGCCATGAGGTCTGGACTTCCGACACTGACTGGCAGAGTGATGTGCTGCCCGGTCGATTAGTCACCATCTGTACGACTTGTATCCGGTATGCCAGTACGGATACCTTTTTTCACCTCACGCTCTCCGTACATTAGGTAGCTAAAACTTCACTCGGCCTCGTTTCCGTGTTCCGGTCTCCGTGCATCTGTGACTGGGTCTCCACCTCCACTTCCCACCCCTCCCAATCCAAATCCTACCTTGGAGACACGGACGCAGATCGTAAAAAACCTTCTTTTTGTTAACTTTTTTCAATCAAGCTTGCTTATCAACGCTTGTCTGTCCGTGTATCCGTATCTATATTTCCTCCCCCAGCCTCCAAGCCCGAGCCTCTCGCGCTGCTCGGGCAGTGGATGCGACTTTATCTTGTGGGCTGGGACATTGCTCGCTTGTTGCTCCTTGCCTTCAAGGTTTTGCCCGGGGGTCTCGCCGACTACACATCTAATTAGCCCACCAACGGCGGACCATCTGTTATGCTTCACCTTGATTGACCATTCAAGTCTTTTTCAAGCTTCATCTAAGCTCATACCAAATTTGTCCCCCTTTGCTGTTACTATAACGTGGATGGCAGGCCAAACTCAATATAGCCTTCGAGTCAAGCTGCCACATGTACCCTTATTGCAGAGTCACATAGTGTGTACACATGCCAAGACATCGCTGCCTCGACTTGTGTATCCGTACAAACTCGGAACAAGCTAGGTAGAACCGGAGAATGATACCTTCACCTGGACAAGACTTCCTCCGTGTCATCTTGCGCTTATACTGGCCTCCCCGGCAAAGGACCACGCGGCTTGCATTCCCTTCCGACCCCTCCCCCTTGTTGACCTCCCCTAGCTGACGACTCGTAATCTCCTACCAGGCGCGCTGAAATTGCTCTATCTTGATTGAATTAAACTATGTACTACTGACACCCGTGGGCATCGATACCTATACGTGCTAACGTTATTAACCTATTCGCTATTGCTGGTTGCTGGTTGATCCTACAATCAACCGGCCCCGCCTCGGCCGCCCGCCTCAACCCAAAAACTCAAAATCGGCCGTGTCTCGGGATGCAGCCCGACCTGTAAAGACAGTTTTTACCCCCCAAACGCCATTCTGATTCAATGCCCATGTCGTCGTCATCCCCAAAGTAACACAGATGTCCCGAAAATATTTGCTGCAGATCGGCAAGATCCGGACTCTTGTCGTGAAATTTCGCCGTGGAAAACGCCCATTCAATGTCTAGACGGTGTCATGCACATCCTCGCCGCCAACCTCGATGCCGCATTAGTACCTTGCGGAGTAGCGCGCCGGTGCTGGAGAGGGCGAGTAGGAGTGATCGTATCCGCCAGCGTGGTTGTAGGGGTCGTTGTCATAAACAGTCGCTCGACGATCCTCCTCTGGCAGCAGCTCCTTGACCTCCCAGTTGTTCATCCTGGTTCCAACTGAGAACTCGAGGTCCTCGCGGGTAATAGAGTCCCAGTACTGTAGTGGCGGATCAGTAAATGTTGTCGTTTCAAGATTCTCAAGTTTACATACCTTGTACACCATCATGACACCCAGCAGGTTGCAGATAGTGGCGAAGAAAAGGCCGTCGAGGTAGTGGCTGACGGCGGTGCAAATCTGAGTGCTCACGGCGTACAGAATCACTTGGCCAACGACGAAGAAGAAGATGCCAAAGGCAATGTCGCCCAGCGGCCAGCGGTCCTGGAGAGTCCTAACGACGAGGAGGATTTGCAGGGCAACGTAGACGAAGAGCTCGATGGCGTTGAGCAAGTACAGGACGACGAACAGGCCGACGGTGTTGGTGGGACCTAGGCCAGCCCATGACTTGAAGGTCGCAAGGGAGACGAGGAAGCATATCGCAAAGGCCACCAAAGAGCAGACGCGCAAGAGCCAGACGGAAAGGAAAGTGCCATCCTCGTACAACTGGAAGCCAACAAAGCCGTTGATCAACAGGCAAGTAATCAGAGCCGATGACAGGCCATTTTGAACTGACACGAAGTACGGGTAAGGGGCGGATCCAGGGGGGACGACACCTGCGTCGACGCAAAGCGAGATGAAACTCAGAAGCATGTAGATGTAGAAGAACATGAGGATTTCCTTGCGACCTATCCATGTTTTGTCAGTACTTCTATCAGAAATGAGGGTTCGTGAACGCTGACGTACCGACAGCAGTGAACTTGCCACGAATGTGCAAGATCATGACGACGGTCATGAGCAAAGACACAATATGCATGGCGCTGGCAGCACCCTCGAAAATGATGGTGTTTGCCAGCTCGATATTGCGCGCATAGCAGTCCGGCTCAATACCAACGCCGCTCGTCACTTCCGTGATAGGGCCGATGGATGCGCACAATGGCAGCGGCGCCATGTGGCAGATGTTGGTGAAGTCGCCGAAGCCTGACATGATGGGCTACGACCGACCTACGGCGATGAGTCTGTCGGAAGGGCAAATGGCGAAATGGCAGCGTCGAATGGTTTAAACGGGGTGCGTGGTATGCGGTTCAAAGGCTCCGTCGAGGGTCGTTTGAAGTTCTCGACAGGGGTGATGGCGAAAGGATACTCGAGCGATGGACAGAGTCGAGGCCAAGCGACGGATTCGACGTGATATGGATAGCGTTCCGTCAAGAGTGAGCGAGAGGTCCGGCGAAGCCCGGTCGTATCGTCGCGAACGAAGGGGACGATGGTGCGAGTGGACGAGGAATGGATGTTTCGATGGACGTCAAGGGAGGTCACTCGGATGGAGGGCGGGCGGGCTGATCGTGGAGATGAGGCGTCGGGGGTCCGTGACGGGAGATTGCAATAATCAGGAGTCCGAGTTCAAGAGCGATGGAGAGAGGTTTTTTTTCTCGGAGAGGGTTCTTGTCGACGACGATGACGATATTACGGAGGCAGCGACGACAACCTAACGGTGAAGATGGAACGGACGGAGCGAGGGTGCGACAACGAATGACTGGACAAGAACCTGATTCTGATGAACGGGCTGGTGGTTGGGAGCGAGTGACAGTGAACGGTTGCTGTCCGACGACAAGCTGAAGCTGAACGGGGGGAACGTTGGAGCAGCGTTGCTGTGGAAAAGGGAGAAAAGGAGCCCACTCTGGGACACTCTGAGGCCCTGCAGGTGCAGGACAAGCGCGGCAAGTGCCAGGAATCAAAGTGTACAAGTGCCAGGAAGGGGCGGGCAAGCGGGCAAGGCGGGTAGCACAGCAAGGAAGGAAGCGCACAGCTGGAAGGAGAAGGGTCAAGGGGACCACTGGGAAGGTAGAACGCTCTCTCGTAAGAGGCGCCTTCCCGGTCCAGGAACGGGACGGAGTGGGGCGAATGGCAATCTTTGCAGGTCGAAAGGTGGCTGGTGGCTTTCAATGTTCCCCAATTAAATACAGCAGAATGCCATTCTTGCCGGCCTCTGACTGGCTAATTCGTGTTCTTCCTTCCCTCCCATGGAGCGTTGGAGACTTGGAGTGCGTATTCTCGGCAAATTGTCCTAATTTAGCAGCATCGCCCCTGCCCAGTCCACTGAAGCGACGTCCATTCTTCCCCGCTAGCTCGAACACGAGGCCCTGTCGCCCGGTCTGGCAAGAAGTGTAAGCAGGTGAGATCCCCGTTGTAGCCAGTTGCCCAGCCACTTTTTGGAGCTTCCATATGGCGTAGAGTGCTTATGTAATTTCTCCCTTTCATTGTCGCATCTCCTCAATTCAATGCCCTCTTCTCTCTGAGACGAGGCGCATTCTGTGCATACGTCTGGCCTTAATTGCTTTCGTATCCATTTCCAAATTCCACCATCGTCAAACAAAGACATTGAGTCGGGTGTGCAACGCGTTGCTCGTCCCTGCGTCAGGAAAGAAAAAAATCTGACATCGAAACAAGACAAACCTTGCAAAGAACAGCAAACTCCCGCTGTCACTCACGCGGGCACGCACTCTCTCTCTCCGTCGTCCAGTCAACCGTCGCATGGTTTTCGTCCCAACTCGCCCCAAACTCTCTGCCTCTGCGATAATTACCTGCAAACCGGTTATCAGAATGAGCCAATGACCAAGATGTGCCTACAGACGGTCATGTCTTTGTGTCTGGCCATGGCCCTGCCTATGTATCACAGTTGTTGACCTGACAGTCCCAGCGGCGAATCAATATTGATCAACCACCGCGGCAACCGTCTCGGTGTAGCCCACAACCCGTGCAATACGTTGTCGTCCCAGCTTATTGGCCCAGCCGAACCAACGTCTCAGCCTGATATGTTGAAACGTCACCCAGCACGACAAATATGGCCTGAATTGCCACAAGTTTTCAGCCTTTGTCTTGGCGCAACTTCACCTCGTTTTCAGATCAGCCTCATCTGACGGGTCTCGAAACCTCACTACACCTCCAACGCTGGTAGTGCCAGCACCGTCAAGAAAGTGCTGTCTGCGGCCCGGCAATGCCTCACCCACGGCATGGCCTTCAACATCTGGAAGTGAGCGGGCAGGATTTCTCCCGTCCAGCTTTGTGGCTCCTCCTGCTTTGGCCCTCCAACATCCGCGTCACCAAACTCGTCATCGTATTCCAAAAACTCCATTGACCGGTGTTGCAGAAACCGCATCAGAGTTCGGAACGTTGCAGGAGTAAAGTTGGCTTCTTTGGCGATGCTGACCGTCACGTTAGCTTGTCCCATTCTCTCCTCCACATCGCTCGTCTGGAAGTTTGTCCAGTCCACCTCGCTTAGAATCTCCAGCGACGTCAATACGTTGGGTAGCACATTTTGTTGGTGAGCGAGGCTGGCTGGTGCTCGCCTCCAACCCAACATGCCATACACGTTGGCCGCAATACACCAATGAGCCTTGCTGCCGATGCTGCTCCTGTTCTCATGTGCCTCCGTATCCGCCACAATTCGAAACGCCTTCTTGAGGCACTGGATGGCGTTGATAGCGCGGTGGATACGATGCCATTTGGTCAGGCCGAGTAGGGACAGAGCCTTCTTGAACGTTCCAGGTATATTGGCCTCCCGATCATTGCCTTGGTAGAGCTTCCTCATCGTCTGGATGAAGCGGTCAACCAACACGGCAGTATCAATCAACGAATCCGCGGCTTTCTCCAACGTATCGGCGACCGCGCCCGGCTTCAGCCACAACAAGCTACCCTCCCGCTGCAGCTTGCTATGCAACAAGCTGACCATGCAAGCGGTGACCTTGACCGCAGCCCGCTGGCAGTCCGTCCTCAGCATCATGATGAGACGGTGCTCGGCGTTTGGCCCAAAGCCTACAAAGCATCGACTGACAGACTCGGACGGGTGGTAATCGATGGTGAGGCTGCCGTAGTGCATCAGCAGGCCCTTGGACAGGTGCTTCTTCTCCTTGACACGGTATAGCACCCGGGAAGAGCACGAATCGTTGTCGATCCGGAACCCGTCCCGGGAACAGTGACCGACGTCGCCAGAGGACAGCGGCATCCAAAAGACGTCGTCGGCCAGGGGGCCTGAAGGGTGGTAGAATTTGGACTTGTCTACTGTGAATGTTCCTCGCGGGGCCTCGACGGACATCCAGGTCGTGGCCATATCGATATACGCCGCTGCCAGGCGTGGGGCCATGGCGAAGCTCGAAGATGTCAGACGGCGTATAGGGACGAGATCGTTGGCAGACTTGCTCTTTGCGTCGTCTGCGCTCTTCGACCTCTTTAATCTCTTGGATATGCCGAACGTCATCTTGCCGTTTAGTCTTCGGGATAAGTTGCTGTTGCGTGCTTCGATTTGCCAGGCAAGCGTTCCTTGACACTGTTCGTCTATGGCTCGTTCTTTATGGCTATTCTGGGAGGAATACGTAAGAGGTGATAGGCTGACTGACAACTCTTGACTGATATGTCCTCAAATGATCGACAGGTGGTAGATTTTCATAGCTCCTGAAAGGTAGGCATCGTGCCATATCTTCCCAGCCCCAGATCCATCTCCGATTACACATTGCATGATAGAGTTCTGGTGGTTGATCGGGGTCCACCTCCATGATGTGCGATTTCACGAGCAGTCCGGGGTGGTTCCAAAAGTTATCTCCGATGAAGCACACAGCAATGCTTTTTTTTTCCAGGCGAATCAATCATCCTCAGAGGGATTCATCTCCTTCATACCCTTTTGGAAACAAGTGATGCTCAAGGTGCCTACATCAGCCTTTCACATGTACTCAAGTAAAGAGTAGGCAAGCGAAGCCAGGTTGGTTCTCTGGAGCCCACACATCCAATTACATCAAAGATGCCGAATTTCATCAGCCTGTTCAAGGTATTTAACCGTCCATGACGGAGCCCATTGTCCGCAGCGCGCCTGCGACCTACTTGCGAGAGAAGCCCGTCGCCCAAAGCGTTCCAAAAAAGACATAGTGCACTACTTTTCAGATTGTGCGTGGCAGTTCAGCCTGCAAGTATTTCAATTTTCCTCCCACGCAGGTTTTAAGGGATGCTTACCTGGGCGAATGAATTTCCTGACGAATCAGAGAGTACCGTGCCAAGAACGACATTGATACGTTTTTCACACAGTGAGTCCCAATCAACCAAATGTCACCAAAACTGCAATGTCACTGTCCCATTCTGATTGGTTCAAAGCTCCAAACTTAATCCGCAGATAATCCAGCGACAACCCTTCGACCATCACCATGTGGTGGAACAAGAAAAATATGTTTACTTTTACTTTTTTTATTTGACTCGTTTGATCTTTCGTGATCTAGCTGTCATTGCTGACGCTTGGTTTCTATCTACGCCGAAGAAAGGCACCCTTGCCTCTTCGGAAGAACCCAAAAAATCAAACGCTTCCGCTCATCGGGGAAGCCGAGCTTGCGTGGTGCATCATCGACCAGACGATGCACAAGCTCCAAGGACCATTGCTCTCTCTTGCCTTGTTAACCTCCTTGTTGCCCCGAAAGCCCAAAGTAGGGAAAGAGAGAAATAGACAACTCCGCCTGATGCAATTTTCACAGTTGATCCATGAGAGTCGTCCCTTTCCTTACCAAGATCCCCCGAATTTCCCCAATCCTCCTTGGCCGCTGATGAAGTAAAAAAAATAATGATCCTGACCCAACGCCTTGGACAATGCAATGCTTAATAATATGAGTTGAAAGATCTATCCTCTGGGTGTTGTCCCTGAGAAGTGTATGGTGGCAAAGGTGGCTGGTTCATTCGATTCCCGAGCCTCTAGTTCGGGAAAGGTCCCTGCGGCAGACCATGGGGTATGTGCGGCATGTGAGCGCTCATTCTGTAGGGCGCATGCATGAATTCAGGAACCACGCCGGTTCGCAGGTCGTTGCGCCGTCCGAGAGGCTGGTAGTGCATCTGTGTCGTAGGCAGATGATACTCGTTGAGAGAAGCCGATGGCGGAGGGTAAAGTAGTGTGTTGACGTGACGAATAGGCTTGTACGGGCTGGGTCGCTGTTGAAGATAAACGCTGGGCGAGTGTGACATGGGCGTATGTGAGATCGGAGTGTGCATGACAGATGTCGGGAACTGTTCCCCGAGAGGCGAAGACGCATACACAGAGAGACTTCCTGGACTGTGTCTCTTGGTCGGGGTGCCGTATCCCATGTTGGGATGCATCGGTACATTCGAGGGCGTAAGCGAGGCTTGCGGTATCGAGGTCGTGGCCGGCATGGGCAGCTGCGGCATCGAAACTGTCGTGGTAGGGTTAAACACTGTTGCCATGGCACGAACGCCGTTGTTCAAGGGCGGCAAGGAGACGTGTTGCTGCGCCGGGTAGGTCGTCGGGGCCGGGTACATTTGTGCCTGTGATGGTGCGGGGTTGGTGTTCAGCGTCAGGTTCGGTACGGGCAGACGCATCGGCTGCTCGTTGACCGCCATGGGTCTACCGACAGGGGGCATCGCATTGGGCTGCCTGCTAAGTCGCTTCGCCGGGGGCTCCACCACATCTTCCTCCGAGCTTCTCTTACGAGCATTCATATTCATGCCCGGGACGTGCTTGCCAGAGAGCGGTGACATCTGGGGGTTGTGATGATATGTCGAGGGCCAAGCCTGCGTGTTGCTCTGCACGTTCGTGCTCGGCGAGTAGACGTTTGCGGCAGAAGGCGTGAGGGGTGGGAAAGAGACTGCGGGCTGTGCGGCGGCGATGGGTGACGGCACTGGCGAGGTGAAGGACTTGTTCAAAGGCGAAGTCGGTTGCTTCTGCGCCCGCTCGTAGTATTCCGAGAAGCAAGATAGCTTGACGAGCCATTCCTCCCACTCCTCTTTCGTGGCCAGCAGGCTGTAGCGCATGTTGCTGAGGAACTCGACCTCCATCACATGGATCTCTTGAACGGTAATGCCGGAGACTTCGGCCCAGGTTTTGTTCGTGTAGGTGTTATCATCCAAAACTACGAGGTGTCAGCAGAAGATTCAACCTTCCTCCCTATTGCAGTCGTCACTCACACTTATTGCCCAGCATTAGGGCAACCGTCAAAAGACGGTACTCACTACCAGACCGACCCTTCACGGAAGGATTTGTCGTCTTCAATCGATAGACGAAAAGTAGGGCCAACAGAATCACGTTTTGCGTGACTTGGGTTGTCGAGAGCACGCTGTAGGCCCACTTCTTGAACTGGGGGAAAGGGGTCGCATACTCGGTGAGGCGAGGCACGGTGGCGGTCGATGGACGAGAACGGATGTTCTCAGCGATTCGCAAAGTGTCCATAGACTCGAACCAAAAGAGGCACGTAATCTGAGGGAGGTCAGCTACTACTATTCATCTTCTTTGCAGGCCAAGTCCAGCTTACCTGTGCGGCAAAGTCTGCCAGGTTACCGCCCTTGGGATTAATGCAGCTCGGTATCGACAGACTGTGCAGAACGAGAGCCGAAGAGCCCTTCCGTGACGAAGTGTCATCTGGCTTGCCAATGGCCCCTGAAGTCGGTGTTGACGGGCGAGTCGAGTGTCGAGAGGTGGTTGAGTATTGGCTAGTGCCCGAGGCCGGATTCGTTACCGGTTGCGGGGGTTGGGAATATGTGTTGGCGGGTTGTTGATACCGAGAATATTGAGGGGCTCTCGCAGACTCGGCCATGACAGCCTTGGGTCCTCTTGCCTGAGCAACTGAGGAAGGATATGAGGGAAGAACATGGCTATCGTAGGAGACCAGGTGAGGGGCGTGGTAGGTAGCACTCATGGCGTCGGTTGGCGGCGTGCGAAGCCCGCCCCGGTACAGAGAAGCTCCTGCCCCGAGATCGAACCTGGAATCCTTTTGCGAGTGAGTGGCTGTGAAGGAGGTTTGCTGAGAGTAGCTCTGTCTACACGACAAGGGGTGTGCAGGAGACAGAGGGAGGCTGTAGAAGGGCAAAGGTGCGGCAGTCGAACACATCGGAGCGGGGGAAGTTGATCGTTGGCTCGCGGAGGGGGGGCTCGAGGTTCGTCGTTCGAAGGTCGACTATCTCGTGAGCGATGCTTCGGCTGGAGGAGGGGGAGTAGTAGTTTGCGAGAGGTCGAACGGAGATCGGAAAAGGGTGAAAGAGAGAGAGAGGTGGGTCGAGAGGTATCAGTCGAGGAAAATCAAGGTCGGCTGCTACATTTGTGGTTGGAGCAGGCGACAGATTTCCGAATATGATTCACTTGTAGAAGCTTCCTTTCCTAGTGAGAGATGTGTGCAGCTCGGCAGAATGCTGTGGGCAGTTCGAGCCAGGCAGAAAAGGTCAATCCTGAATTATTTGAATGCTCCCGTCGGGTGGGTTTCCCCTGTACTCGCAGGCTCGGGATGGCAGTTCTCTTGAGGATTCGTGATTCTACTGTTGTTGAGGGGTGTCTTGTCTCCGTTACAAGCTAGCCATGGCAGGGTGAATCGTGCAAGAATTTGGTCCAGCCGCAGTCTCGAACCAAGATGTTCGTGCTCGTGATCCAAGAACCGAGGAGGGCGTGAATCGTGCTCGTCGACCGTCGAGGTGCTGATTCGATTGCAGGAGCAAGGTAGAAGTAGGAGAACACCTTTGGAGGGGTGGTGTTGGTGGGCACAGTGACCAAGGTATGGAATCGGAGATGGGTTCGACGTTGATGTCAGGTCGACGGAGGGGTGAATGGGTCGGTGGAATAAATTCGGCGGAAATGGGAGGTAGGTATAAGGTAAGGTGGAAGAGGTGACCCTGGGCCGACGTGTACTTCAGATTGTCCGTGTAAATGAAGGGCTCGTGGGTGGTGAGGTCAATGGGGCTCCGTGATTCGGTGGGATGGCCGTGGTGGGAAGGATGGATGGATGCGAGAAAGAAGAGTGTGGCTGGCGGTACTGGAATTGTATTGTATTGTATTGTATGGGATGTTGCTTGGGTATTTGGCACACGCACGCATACATGTACACATACAACAACAGCAACACCACTAGTCCAGAGTGACGGAAGAAGAAGGATGATAATAACAAGTAAGAAGAGGCTAAAGACCCGAAGCAGTAGCAAGAGGGTCCCCGTCAACAAAAACAAGATTAGTACCTCTTGAGAGAAAATGAATTAAAAAAAAAAAAAAGAGACGATGCAAGGCAAGCTGGACGAAGAAGAGTTGGAGAGAGAAAGAAGCAAGGCAAAGGCAAGGTAAGGCACCTCTCACACGGCAAGAAGGTCGGGGCCGGGGGTCCAGGTAGAAAGGTAAGGTACCTCAGGTACGAAGTGATAGATTGGAAGCCGAAGCAGTAAAACCACAAAAAAAAAAAAACGGAGGTCTAGTGATATGGTTGCGTCCTTCGTTGTCTGGACTCTGGGGCCTCTCTCTCTCTCTGTGTGCTTTCCCGTTTTTTGTCTTTATTTTTATTTTATTTTATTTTATTTTATTTTATTATTATTATTATGATTTGGAGAAAACTCGCAGCGATACCTGCAGTCAGAGAGACAGGAGTGAGTAAGGCAAGGTAAAAAGGGTAAGGAACACACACCTCACTACCAAGGAAAGTCAAGTACCTAGTTCCCAGCCTAGGCCCACTAGCGCATGTACCGGTCATCCACAGATTGTAGGCAAAGTCACTAGATATGGATGTCTTGTGCGAGAGCTGTGTGAGAGGAGAAGTATCCGTATCCGCGCGCCCTGGTTATGGGTCCTCGCCTGGGTCAGGTCTATGGTCGCAGTGGATGGGGGAAGGCATGGGATTGGGATTGGGGGTTTTGGGCAAGGGCAGGGCAGGTGGCACAGTGGCAGGAGAGGACGGGACCCGGAACAGCCAACATGGGACATGGAGGGATGAATGGGATGTAGCATGTATCTCCGTACCCTCAAGTATGGGGATGAGGATGAGGATTGAGGAAGGGACGTGGGAGGGGAGGGGAGGGGAGGGGACCAAGGTACCTTGTTCCATGTGCGGCCTACCGTGCGGCGTGGGGCGTGCCCTGTCCTCAGTCTTTGACTTGGAGGGGAAGAGGGGGGCAGGTGAGGTAAGGTAGGCAGGAAAAAGAAGATACTTACCGACCAGCTTGTTCGATTCGTACCTGCCCGACGGGGTACCGGTCTCCAGCAAATAAAACAACCCATCCGCAAGCGCAGGTTCAATTCAGCTGTGGAGGTCGGAGGAGCAAAGAAAGAAAAGGGCGACGCCGCATCTCACCTCAACCGGGAAGCTCCAGCACCGGCGGCACCAACCTGCCACACCACACCACACCACACCAATTGGCAAAAAAAGCACCAACACGGTCGGTCGGCGGAGAGGAGCAGGGGCTCCAGAGTCCAGGGAAGAAGGCAACTTTGGCAAGGAACATGACCCCAGAATTAGATACTTGCTTTGCTTTGCAACTTCCATTGCAGCTAAGTCCGTCTGAATCCCTACTGTGAGTGTGTACTTGTAGTCCCATAGACTGGGTGCCCCTCCAAGTAAAGGCAGGTTGTGGTAACAAGGACCGTAAGGTATTCGTACTGGGAAGTGCCGCCTTGAGGACAACCACTCATTGCACAAAGTACCTTGCTCTTGCTTTCCACAAAGTGTCCGTACGTAGTACGCTTCTTTGCAGCCACACAATACCGGCAGCAATATGTGTACCTCCTCGGAGCCTGGAGGGAGTTAGGAACAAGGCAGGCAAACAAACTTGGAGCCAGACTTTCCCCGTGTCCATCCCCCTCAGCTAGCTAGCCCGTCCGCCCGCCCGCCCCTCAACAAGCAACCACGCAACCAAGCCGATTATGGAAACAAGCCGCAAAAATGCAAAAGTCAGGAAGGATTCAAGGAGGAGACTAAGAGACAATTTGGCTCAGGTACGGGAAGAACTTTGGGCCAACCACGTCGCGGCGCACCCTCAAAGTGGGTCTTAAGCCCAGAGGGTGAGAGGGAGGAAGGAAGGGGGGGGAAGAAGCAGAATGCACGAGGTTACCTTAGACGGAAAGAGCAGAGGAGGTACTTGGCTTGAGGTACTTTTTTCCTCTCCCGTCCACCACCTGGGGCGTGAAAGTACCTTTTCTCGTGTTGCGCCACCAAAAAGACACATGCCTCGGGGGTTCCAGTCTCCAATGGTTGGCCATTTTCGATGCGGAACACGATACACGGTATATCAATACGTACCTCCCTTTGCCTTGCGGCAATGCACTTGCATCTCGCACCGGCACCAACACCATCCATGGTGATTGATCCAGCACCAATCTCAACCTCAACCAGCGTCAGCCATGAGGAGGCGCCGCGTGTGTGCATCTTTCGATACACAGGCAGCCAGATGGCAAGGCGAAGCACAGTCAAGGCACGCCAAAGAAATCCCAGCCGAGCCAAGCAAGCCTACGCAGCTCCAGAGCTCACTAGCCCTCAGTGTCTTCCTCTCTCCTCGTCCCTGGCACTCACAGATCACACATCACAGATCGATACTCCGTATCCGTACAGAGCACGGATCAACGATACGTTTGGGGTATCGTGATTGACAAAGCCTGGAGGCATCCGCAGAGCATGGTCCCGTCATTAGACGCAGAGTGAGTGACAGACAACCTGGAATCTGCCAGACCGACGAATGTCCTCCAACAGTCCAAGGCTCTGACCGGCCAGTCCCCGTCCAAAGTCGCAGTCCCGTTCCCAGGTGGTTTGGTAGCCATTCGACAATGATTGTGAGGACACCCCCTGTCATGACCGTGACTGTCACCGTGACCCCGACCACGACAGATGGATGCTCTGCTCCGTCGTCAATGTTCAATCGCATCCTTGAATATGGCCAGCACAGCGTATCGGGCAGACGTACTACAAGCCTAGCCCGGTCGGTGATGGTCCGTCGGCGTCCAAGTGCCTTCGTCCGCCTGCCCCCGTCTGAGGTTTCTGCCAGACTCTCTCCCAGGCCCTGGTACCGATCCGAATCTTACCTAGCGCGATAGGCCCACCTTCAGCTCAGGTGCGGTAAATACCTAGCAGGCCGTGTGAGGGCGGCGGCGATGAAGCAGCAAGTCCCCGAGCCTGAGATTTGATGTGGGAAGTGAGCATGCCGCATGAGGTGTACAAATACACTTCTGCTCAGGGTTGAATCCTGGGTATTCGTACTTTCGTAGTGTCGTCGTGGGCGCGGGCGTGGGGTATGGGGTGTGGTTTCTACACAAGAGTGTATCGGAAGGGTGTGTAGATTGTATTCGTACTACCGACCGAGGGCGAGGGCGTGGAGGTGAAAAACAAAAAAGCCGAGATTCAAAGTCAAGGTGAAAAAGGAAGAGTCGTGTCTGAATCAAATGTGCAAAGTTGCAAAAGGCTGCTGGCTAGACCAGAGGAAGAAGTTGTGGACTCAGACCTTCCAAGGTTGCCAGTGGACGGATGGAACTGCCACTGGCGGAAAGGAAGATGCAAGTTTTCTGTCCTTTCTTTCCGTGATGGTGGAGTGGCACCTGAGTGGTCGTTTTTTATCCCCTTCTTTCAGATTCTCCATCCGTCTTGAGGGTTGGTCTCCACTCCCGAGCCAATCAGACTACTTTTGGTCTGTATGCAGCCCCAGCAGAGGGGGAGAGCAGGTGCCAGGTGCAGGGTATGCTGCATCACACCTCAGGCTTCCAATGTTGCAGGCCAGGCCACCACCATTTTTCTGGAGTCGGGTGCGGGTGTCTAGTCGTACCGAGAAGAGACTTGGAAAGTCCTTGATGAATGAGCTGCTCGCGAGTACGGCAAGGAATATCTGGTACCTTGTATGGGTGGAGGGCTGGAAGAAACGCCAAAGAGGAGTCGTGGGGCTGCAAGAAAAGGAAAGAAAGGACCAGACGCCTTGTAGTACGTACTCCGTACCCACTCACGTGCTACTGGCACCTACCGCAGTATGGAGTACGCAGTAAGGTACCTTGGAGCCCAGCTCGACAAGGGCGCGAGGAGGAAACAAGGTGAAGAGGAAAAGCTACCTGCCCTCCGCTATCATTCATGCTGAAGATCAAAGTACTCCGAATTCCACCATCTCAAGTGTTCCTGTAGGTATCTGTGTCCTTATGTCTGTACCGATCCAATCGAGTCGAATCAACGACATCCACACTTTTTCGCCCAGTCAGCGAAGCCAAGTGAGTTACTGCAAGACGTCAAATGTCAAGACTCAACTTCACTCACGCAACTCTCAACTTTCATGCTGTAATAAGCAATCCTGGAACCAGAGGGAGGGAAATGCATGCTTGAGGCTTTTCCTGTCCCCGTGCGCCTATCCGCCGGGCGCCTCATTGCCTTTCCATCTTTAACCTTCCAGCCAATTATGGACCGGGTCATGCTACTTCGTACCCAAAACTCAGGAAAGTCGACCACTCCTCCAAGCCTCGAGGAGAAGGCAACGGACCTTGATATCCAGACGCCCCCTCCCCATGTCACTTCTCTGCTCTTCTCCTGGAGCTTCCGCTTTTCACACCCATCCCCCCCCTCTCATGCCCCCCCTTTCTCCTGCACCACCGCCCTGCCAGCACTGCTCACCATCTTTTCCCATCTGCTGCGCTGATTGAGAATTCTAGGTACACTAGGGCCCGGGTCTCGGGCGTGGTTTGGTCTTGGGGTCGGGTGGGGTTGTCAAGTGGCCCTTTCTTCGGTCCTGGATGCGGGTGCGACTACGACTCCGACTATGCTGAACGGAGCACGAAGTAGCCGTAAATGACTGACAGGGGGAGGACACGCCAGGAAGCAGAAGACCGCTAATTACCTATGCTACCACGACATGGCGGCGGGCAGAGACCAGTTGAGCCCGCACATAGCTTTGCAGTCTTCATCCAGATACCACTGATCAGTGGCTAGCCAGACGGGCAGGACAGGGAAGAGGCCGGCATGCAAGACGAGAGCTGCACCTCCGCTCGCTGCACCATCAGTCCACAACGGTGACTAGAGAATGCTAGAGACGTGTATGTCGGTCGATAGCAGAGGCCACCGGAATCTAGGCGTGGGTGCCGGCTACAAAGACTCTCTCCCCTTTCGTCACGAATAGGTCGCTTCTTGCGAATACCGACATTGTGATGTCCTAGTGATAGTCGCAGTTAGCCAGTTCGATATCGTCAGCACATGAGCATCAGCCTACTTAGTGTACACCAACCAACAAGTATTTCCGCCCACTCGCTTTGCCCGTCAGCAATAGCTTCAGCCATCGCCCACCTTGACGGCAGGGAACCGTCTCCAGACGCCTCAAGCACCGTCAAATACAAACTGTACCGGAGCAGTCCAGCAGGGGTCGGAT